CCAACGACGCCGTGCCCTCTAAATCTTCCCCAATACCTCGTCCGTCCCCATATGCCATTTCCGTTCCCGCTAATCGCCAACCCGATGCTTCTTCGAATGCAACATCCGGGCGCTTTTCATGGGAGTAGGTTGTTCTCTCCCTCTCCCTCTCTCGCTCTCTCTCTCTCTCTCTCTCTCTCTCTCTCTCTCTCTCTCTCTCTTTCGCTCTCCCCCACTAAAATTCAAATTTCAGTACCTGGGTTCCCGTTCTCGTTGATTCCATCAATGAACCCATTTTCCCCAGACGGCCATCAGACTACGCCACTGGACTATCGACAGCGAAAGGACGAGGATTAACAAATATCATAAAAAAAATCTGCCATCAGTTTAATGAGCTTTTCACTGCATTATTTTTTATGTTTATCGCAATATAATAAATCTGCTTTTAATAATAATTCATTTAAATTAATAAAAAAACGGAATCCAGAAGCCCATAAAAAGTTTTTAAAATTCTTAAAAATGTCCGCATTTTTTTAAAAACGGCCCCCTCACGGCTTTTCCTCACGCGGCCCGGGTGACACTCAGTGGGGGAACGCTACCTTTTTTTGCATAATCCATCATTCAGCTGGGGTGGGGAGGCTTTTTGTGCTCCCGTTCGGGGCTGCGGGGGGAGATATTGGAACGAACGGAGGAGCCCCGCGTACCACCCAGACACCGGGCGACACCTGGGCGATGCACTAGGGATGCACTATTCCGGTCTGCGTCTCTCATTCTAGGTGTTCTCTGGGTGGGTCTCCACCCGAAAGGGCATATTCTGATGAGGGCAACTACTGATTCATCTTGCCCTTCCCACCACCCGGTACGCCTGGGGGGCAATGGGCCTCAGGGGGTGTAAAGAGGAGTCGGACGGACCATATGCTAATTGATGGACGAAGAGGGTACGGTAGGAAAGTGCAAGGAGGTCAGGGAGTACGGTAGTTTGCACTTACGCTTCTTGAAATCTGAGTGTAAAAAGGAGTCGGATGGGCCATATGCTATTTGATGGCGGGGCGGATACGGTAGAGAAGTGGAAGGAGGCGAAAGGGTACGGTAACTGGTACTACTGGCATCTGTAGTGTCAACAGGTGCGTAACGGAAAATATGCTAATCGACGGCTGGGGAGTACGGTGGTGAAGTGCAAGGATGCCAAGGAATACGGTAGTTTGCAATTACGCATCTGGGTGTAAAGAGGAACGAAACGTACGAAATGGTAATCATCGCACGAAGAGGTACGGTAGCGAAGTGCAAGGAGATCAAACGATACGGCAGTTTGCACTTACGCTTTTTAACAGCTGGGATGTAATGAGGATCCGAACGTACTTTATGCTAGATGCGCGGACGGGCAGGCTACGGTAGACAAGTACAGCGAGGTCATCGAAGGTTACGGTAGTTTCCACTTTACGATTTTGCATCCATTGTAGAACGGCTACCAGCAGGAGCTACCAATGGTAGGAAAGTGCGAGGAGGTCAAGCATACGGTAGCTTGCACTTTACTCTAGCAATCTGGCGTGGAAAAGGTATTGGACGTACCATGCAATGTTTTCAAGGCACGTTAGGTAAGGAGTGTACGATAGCTTGCACCGTAGATTTTTCTGTCAGGTGAGGATGTTCAGAGGAGTGTCGCGGAATGACTACGGTAGCCAGAAATCTAGAATTTCATGGAGGGAGGGGTTTTCGATGTGTAAATTGTATTCATGACGACTGTAAGCGTAGATTTCAGTCCCTTTAAAAAGACATGGATTTTTGCGGGCCGTAGTTCAATTCCACCTCTGACCCCCGTAAAAGTGCAAGAACAAGGGCAACATGGCCCCCGGGGGCATTTGTGTGTGCAAGATGAATCACTGCCCGTACCCTTCGGCTCTTCAATGCCTTCCCCCTGCCTTGTCGTGCGAATCTGTACACCATTTATCATTGTCCTCATCTTGCACTTTTGCACACCATTCCCACAATTGCCCTCGGAGAGGTACTGTAGGCGGCATTGGCTTTTGGTAAGAAACAGCCGGCGAGACGAGCCAGGAGAGAGAGCGAGAGGGGAGAGAGCGAGAAAGCTAGAGAGAGAGAGAGAGCCGAGAGTTTTTGTCAAAACGGCCTATATGGAAATGAGGCTAGGCCGGGGTGTAAAAATCGGACCGGTTCGGACTAGGCGCATAGTAGCCTGACGTACTTTGGAATTCTAAAAGAGGTTTAAACCGGAGATGCTTTAGAAATGCGCACAACATTATCAAGAACCTTAGTAATCCTAGGAAAACTCCTAAAGTCAGAAAAAAACCAGTTTTCAAAGGAAATTTCCTTAAAACCAGGTTTTTATAGTGCGGTAATTTTGGAGCGCTTCTACCGTATCCATTGGCATGCCTTTACAGCCCCTTTAGTTCCATAAATCCTGCTGACACGCAACCCGTAAAAATTATATTTTGCCGAAAAGCAGGAATTTTTACCCCCCCTTTTGGTGTACCACCCCAAAATTTTTTTTTGGTATTTTTTTAAAATTTTAAACCTTTTTTTTCTTTTAACCCTTAAAACCCCCCCCCCCCCCCCCCTAACCCCCCCACTTTGACCCCCCCCTCCCCCTTCTTCCTAATTCGCAAATTTTCATGCGGCAAATCGCCTTCCCAAATCACCCTTTCCGCCAAAGAGCACACACCATTTACAAACGGCACCACCTGGCCTACTTCCCCCTCAGGCCTAAAGGGCACTTTTTATACCATAGTCTTTTTTGGCTGGGTGCCTCTCACGGTGGCTACCCTCCTGGTCAGCACACAGATTTATGGGCAAGCGCGATGGCTTTCCCAGCTTTTTGCCTGGGGTGCAAAAACTGGCAGTAAGGCATGGGGCCGAGGGGTAAAAAAGATGACTGCTTTGCACTTTTGGAGGGGTACGGTAGTGGATCCCTGCAGGGCTTGGAGTTTGAATTTTTAAATTGAAAAACGTCGAAACTTAAGAAGCAAGAAACTACTTTTAAACGGGCATTTGAAGGCTTTTAAAAGCAAAATAAAATGTCACATTTTGCACTAATTTTTGGCGTCCGGTCACTCTTACTTACGGTTCCAAAGTAGCCTTTTAAAACCTTTAGGTTAGACACCTCACTTGGCGAAATTGTGCAAACAAAAAGAGTGTCAAAAAAGCATATCTCAAAAATTTTTGAATCCACAGCATCAGACGCCTTCCTGGGCTTCAAAGCCTGAAGTCCATAGCGAATTCAGCCTTCAACGCACCTTTAAAATCGTGTTTTCTCGGGTCCGTCCTAACGACGGTAAATGGCACTTGAGGGTGTTTAGGCATTAATGAGAGGCCGAACGTTTTCAGCTGCAAGCGCGCTTTTATATCCTATTTCTTACCGTAATCCCATCGTAGATTCCATTTTTTAGATCTTTTTGCCTTCAACGCCCCTTTAATTCAACCCCCCTCGATTTCGTAAGCGATAAATTATCGCAGAATTTTTCACCTCAAGCCATGCCGGCTTGCAATTTTTTCCTTGACCTTTCGCTATCACCTCCCCATGGCCACCCCCCGCAATTCTGGGATGCCCTTCCGGTGTACGCCCTGGTACTGATTGCGATTTGCGGCGCAATTTTTTTGCCGGGGGCCAAAAGTGTTTGTTGGGTCCCGGGAGGGAGTTAAAAATGGTTACTGTACTTATTATATCTTAATTAGGTCCATTACCGTAGCCCTTTTCTTTAGGGCAACAGTACGGTATTCTGAAGTCTAAATTTATCCTACAGAGCCCGTAAATATCGTAGTAAGGGTAAACCTGTACTTTTTCGTGGCAAGGCTGCAGTATATCGCCGAACCCGCAAAAATAAAATTATACATTCTTCCGTATTAATTAAACCCGTACAAAATCTATACTAGACTATGGCGGGAGGAATACTGTAGATTACTGTATGAAATAGCGCGCCTATTTCAAAATTCTCCAAAAATCCTCAAAAAGGCCTAAACCGTTGTATTTTAACAAGCGCGGGGTTACTGTAGGCTATCTTATACTTTCTTGCAAAAATTTGCTTTGTCTTGGAATTTGAAAAAATGGATTTTTACAGTATTTTAGGCTTACCGTAGGGCCTACCGTAACCAGGAGTTCAAAAGGTATCAAAATCCGTTGATTACGGTAGTATCTATCCAGAAAGCCCAAAAAAACAGCCACTACCGTAATGCCAGACGTTAGGAGTAACTTCTTGTAGCCGTATCAAACGTAGTACTGTAATATATACTGTACCTCGATGCCGGAACCTTTTGACGCGACTACCGTATTTGTCGAATGTTCGGCATATGCCTAATCAAACGGTACGATAGGACTATCATAACCTCGTTTTCCGCCTGACCCCCAAGCGTAAATAGTATTGCCTCGTCCGCGGCACTACCCCCCCAATCGAGAGTACGGATTAGTACTCCCCCCACCCAATCGGAGTCATGGCGTTCCAGCTTCCCCCTCCCAAAAAAGTCGCCCCGAAAAAGTTGCTCTTTTTGGGGGGCAGGCTGCGGCGTCGGGGGCTGGGGGGATAGGTGCACTTTGGATGGCACACAGCCCCCTCCAGCTCGGCCTCCTCCTCCGGATCCAACTAGAGGAGGGGAGAACCGTGTCAACCCCGGGGGGGTCGAGACCGGCTCTTGGCTGTGGCTCGGGCTCACCCGCCCGGCTGATTAAGATCCCCCTCCATGGGCTGTCCACTACACAACACTCCTCTGGCCGGCACCACCGGCAACATAGCCGGATTGCCGGCGGAGGGGGATGTCATTGGGATTACCCGACCACTACACCCGGACTTTGGCACTACCGCGTACCAGTTGGGGGCCTTTACCTATGGGGATTTGGGGGTGGACTTTGGGGTTACTGTACGAAAGTCTGAAGGCTTCCGTTGAAGCCTGAACTTTGACACCTTGTTTAGCCGCCAAAGCTTAAGTCGAGAATTCCGAAGCCTAACCTAAGCCCAAGCTAAGAATAGGCTCTGCCTAAGCCTAAGCTAAGCTAACCCTGTGACTCTAACCTATGCCTAAGCCTAACCCTTATCCTAAGTTTAATTCTGTCGATTCAAATGGCTTTCAAGAATTTTCCAGCTTTCTGCAACTAGGCACCTACCGTACTACCGCAACCCAATCGCCTATATTTTCTTAATAATATTTTTTTAATATTTAACGAAGCCGGACGCAAAATTTTCGGGATTACCGTATCTCTTGGAGGTATCGAACGGTATCAGAAGCTATATCAAGCTTGTCCTGACAAAAACTAATTGACGCGGTAGGCTAAAGTATGCCAAAAGGAGAGAGACAGAGATACAAAGCACCAGAGAGAGGAGGAGAGGGAGAGGAGAGAGAGAGAGAGCGAGATAGAGCGAGATAGAGAGAGAGAGCGAGAAGAGCGTCGCTAGCACTACAACACCGGAAGTTGCAATTTGCCCAGCCGATTGGTGTTTATTTCACAAACCAGGAAGTGAGCAACCCCCGCGCAACACAGATACCATGGAACCGTGCCAGCAGCTCTGCAAATATTACAACTTTTTGCGCGTCTGCGGCCCCAAAAAAGCGGGCACATTTTAGGGGTCAATTCGCGGGGCCCTACCGCACCCGTAAATGTGCCTTTTGCGGCCAAATCTAAAGAGGTTAGAGATAGAGAAAGAGAAAAGGATAGAGAGAGAGAGAGAGAGAGAGAGAGAGAGAGCGAGCAACGTCTGGCAAAAACAACTTTCCGGCCTGCTAAATAGCACCTGTGCTCCAGGTGGCTTTCGCGTGGGTCCCGGCGGGAAAAACTTGCAAAAGTGCATAATTGTGCGTTTTTGCATCAACAAGCTTTTTCGTAAAAAAACTGCCGTAGCCCGTAGCGTAACGTAGTCCGTGTTGTTGTGTTTTAATGAAAGGTATGGTGAAGGCAAAATCTATAGATATTTTCCGGGTTTGGAGTTTGCTGGATATCATCGATTTCGAGGTTTTAAAGGGAAATTTAAGGCAATCCATAAGGTTAAGGGTTCAAAGTGAACGATAAAAATTTCTAATCCTATTTCGGCTCTCTGAGTTTTTGGTTTTTGAAGTTACCGTAGCTAACATGAATTTTTTCGGTTAGCGCCAGTTTTACGCAGGTTTTAAAGGAGCATCGAAGGCAAAAATTGGATCTTTTAAGAACTACAGTAATCAAATTAGCGCCTTTTCTTGATTTTCGGGTTTTTAAAGGGCCGTTGAAGGCAGGATTTATGTGTTTGTAGATAAGCGGATAAATATGTCATGTCTCAATCTCCTCACTCCTTCCATGGTGGGGCTCTCGTGTCGGTGGTGGTGCTCGAGGTGGTGGATGTAGAGAGAGAGAGAGCGAGAGAGGGAGAGAGAGAGAGAGAGAGACCGATCTAGTGGTGTGTGTATGTGGCTGTGCCAGCCCCTCTCTCCCGTGCTAGGCACCGCGCGCGCTCTCTCTTTCTCCACGGGCTGCTGTCCCCCTTTTCTATCTTGTGCCCCTTTCGCGCATCGTGGGGCGAGAGAGTGTGGTGAGAGTGAGAGAGTGCAGCGTGGTGTCCCCCGTCCCGCTCGCTGCCAGCCTCCGGGATGGTCATTTTCAAGGTGACCACAACATTCCGCCCCCCCTCAGCCCGTCGGCCTGCCTGTAAACAGTGCAACATCCGCGCCGTGCGCTTGCGGTTCGGCGCCTGGATTTTCGTTTTTTTGCCCCTAATTACCACAGTAATCCGTGTAGAATCTGCTCGAGTATTTTACCTAGCTTTTCTTGATTTTTCAAGCTGAAGAAAATATTTTGAATGGTTGAATTTCTTAAATTCCAGCTGAAAGTTGGCTTCTGAGCTACATGACTCTAAATCCAACCGTATTTGTGTAAATTTTGTGCCGGAATCTACCGTAATAATCTGTTTTTTGTTTTCCTTGGCTTCTCAAACCCCTTTAAAAAAATTTTAAGGCGACCTTACTACGCTAAAATTATCGAAATTTGTGCTAAGCCGACTCTGATTTCCGAATTACTTTAAATGCAAATTTTTCCGTTTTTCGGAAGGTTTGCACCCCTTTTTAGGCATTTTTCTTGGTATCAACTATAATAAAAAAGTAGAGGCGTCCGTCCTGTCTGTCTGTCTGTCCGTCCGTCGTGTCCCGGATTCAACTCGAAGGGGAAAGGAGCTAGAGCTTAGCTCTCTTCGGATTCGGATAGAGCGTGGTCAGAAACCCCCAAACTGATAAAAAAATTACCAAAAAGTTTTAGTTTAAATTACTAAAATTAACTTTGAAAGTTATTTCCTTAGTAAAAGGGGTGGGGGACGGAGGTTGGGGTGATTTTGGAGATAGTGAGCCAGGTCGCGCGCGTTTCGGCGATGAGGAGGGAGCGCAAGGGGGTAGCCCGAAGTCCAGCCGCTTGCAGCGGCGAAGCCGCTGTAAGCGGCTGGTGTACTTATGGCTATGATTCGCTTGCTATCGTAGTTAAAGCCGGATGTAGATATCGAGCTTAAAAATGTTGAAACTATCGAACGTTCGGGCAATTTCTCGGGATCAACCATATTTCCTTGAAATCGGGGTATTTATTAAATGGCTATTAAACTCTCTTAATTCCCCAGCATATTACTGTACTTGATGTCCTCCACAATTTGAAAAAATCCAACTTACCTGACGGTAAATACTACGCTTTTTACCCTACTTTCGCCCAGGAACCATCGCGAAACCAAAAAAAGCTTCATGGCCTTTTTTCCGTGTTCCCCCTGCCCATTCCCATGCGGAGCGCGAATTGCGCAAAAAAACGGAGGGGGCACGCCGTCTTTGTCTATGCATTTTTCCGGAGGAGTGAAGCGTTTTTCTAGGAATCGTCTAGAACGGTACCGTCTAGTCGCTAGCCTGTGGATATCGATTAAAGGCACGTAGAAGCCAGGGTTTTCTGTGGATTTTCAGCTGCTTCTATGACTTTAATTTAATCGATTTAATCGTAATTTCATTCCATTACGATATTTTTTGACGGCAATTTAATGTGTCTGATTTTCCCAATATCCTAAAAATTTCATTCGTTTTTCGGTGAAGTCTATCGTAGGTATATATGCCGTTGAGTAGGGTTACAGTAGCGTCGTCGTTGTGTAGCGTTGTGTAGTGAAAGGTAGCGTAACGTAACGTGGCGCAGCGTCACGTAGCGTGACGTAACGTAATGCGTAACGTAGCCTAGCGTAAGGTAACGTAGCGCATAGCGTAGAGTAAGGTACCTTAACCTACCGTAGCACGGTATTGTGTGAAGCGCCGCGGTAAAATAAAACGTGCGTAACTAGCGTAGCGTATCGGGTAAGTAAAAATCTCTTGATTGATTCGCAAAAGTACGAAAAACGATAATCTGTCTTGTATCAACGTAGTGGCTTTGTCAAGTTAATTTTTGCTTTTTTTGTGTGACAATCCATAGCCCAAGCAACCTATGTATCTTTAAATTAACCCCGACCCCTTAAGACCCTCGAATTTCGTGGTGGGACCGGCTAGGAGTCGTTGTCCTCGTTGGTGCTGCGGGAGCCCCCAGGAATAGCGCCAGAAAACGCGAGCGCGCTGCTTCGTACCCCCGTTGTGCCTCAAGCCCCGTCACGATTCCGCGCCGCGCACACCGCGCCCCCCGCAACCGCACCCCAACACCAACACAACCGACCACCGCGGCCGCGTCCGCACGATGATGAAGGACACGAAATCGGCTCGAAATTGGGAGTGGAAGGCGTGTTTTAAAGGGACTGGGAAGTGGAGGAAAGACCCCTTTATGGGCTTGGTTTCGACAACTATGCGACGCACGAAATTACGGATGCCCGATTTTTGCCACCACCTGGAGCCCAAAAACCTAGAGCGTCATTTGGAACGGCGCGTAGCTGTCTAGACGTAGCGAACCACGAGGGTCGATTCTCCCGCTTAAAGCCTTTTAAGCCCAAGGCCGAAGTTTGAGCTAAAGCCAAAGTCCAGGCAAAAAAACGTCATTTCAATCGGTCAAAGTTGTCTAGACCTAGACGAAAAACCGGGTCGAAACTCACGCTTTCCAGCCCCTTTAAGACATAAACCTGGGCAGGCAACAAAGCCTAAAGCCGTCATTTTAACTAGTTTGAACTTCAGGGCAAGCTAGACCCAGTTGATGAAGATGTCGATTTACGCGCTCCCGGTCCTTTAAAGGGCCCCTAAAGCGCGCTGAGCAAGAGCTCAATAAATCGTGCGGTGGCAAAGCCCAGGCTCACGGCTTCAGGAAATTTCGGGTATAGCCACGAGCCACGCGAGCCCGAGAGGGCAGCGGGGGCGGTGTGTGCTAGCCAGATCAAGATATTCGGTGCTGGGCAGGACCGTCTCTCATGCTCCTCCTCCTCCACCTCTTGCTCCTCGAGATTCCCCAACCCCTTTAGGGATCTTTCAGAGCACGAGGAGAATCCATTCTCCCCCTAGCCGGCCGGCCAGCAGCAGCAGCTCCCCCTCCCCGGTTCGATTCGGATTTCGGATCCGAGCTCACATCCTCCCTGCGGCCTCTCAACGATCCATCCACCCCATCCTGTATCGTTTTCCATCCTGCCCCCCTATCATGCGCCCCCATTTACCGTATCTAGCGAGCTAGATTGGGCTAGGATTGATTACGGGATTTTCAGGAATTCGAAAGATCGGTTTTTGCTGGTTTTAAAGGAACTTGGAACCCAAAAATTTACTGTAGCTTTTTAGCCAGAAAATTTTCCTTTCGTTTTCTCAAAATGATTTCTAAAAAACCGGAAACCAAAGTCTAACTGTAGCCTTTTCAGCGCTCAATTATGTCTTAAGCCCGTCGTTTTTGTAGAACATCGTAAAATTTCTTTTTTTACAGGGTACTGTAGAAAACTGACGACATTTTACGCCAAAAAATTACGACATTTGCCAACGTATACGGTAGCCACCGTAACGTAACGTACTTTAATTTTTCGACTACCCATTTCTTTTCCTTTCTTTCGATCGCTATTACGTAGCTGAAGCCCACCGTAGCGCCTCGGAAAGTACCTTTCATTAATGCAAATAGTTTCTACAGTATCCGGACTAGAAGTACTTCTTTTCCTTTCTAGCGTTTATGGTCGTAATTTTGCGGATTTTTTCATGGCTAAAATATGGGCAAAATGTTACCATACAGCCTTGAAAGATGTGTTCCATCAATGTGCGTTTTTCTACCGTGATCGTGAGGATATTTCTGCTTCTTTCGCTTGATACTGTTTTTGACAGTAATTTTCAATATTTCCAGGATCCAATCCTCTACCTCGGGTCACCAGATGAACGACGTGCGACGCCGGACATCCGATGCCCACCTGGTTAGTGTTTATAGTAGCCATAATTTTAACCTTTTCCTACGTTTTTTTTAAATAGCGTCTCGTAGTCTCATTGACAAATGGGCGACTTGGTATACTCTAGGCTAAAACTGACCGACCTCATGCTCCATATGGGGCTCGCACTCCAAGCTAACATTGTTCTTTAAAGGGATCGGTAGCTTTTGGTGGGACGCGTTAGGTCAATCTCCAGATGTTAATCTGACAAGGCTGGCGCTTAGGCTAGGCTCAGGCTTGAGCCCGGGCTTAGGCTTCGGCTTAGGCTTAGGCTTAGGCTTAGGCTGCGGCGTAGGCTTGAGAATTACGGCATGGTTAAGTCAAAACACTTTAAATTCTTCCTAAGATAAGCCCAAGCCAAATCCAAAGACAAAGCTTGAGCTTGAGCTGAAGAGCAAGCCCACGCTTAAACCTTAGCCTGAGCCTGACCCGAACCCAAGTTGAGCCCAAGCCTAAGTCCAAGCCTACGCCCCGCCTAGGACTCAAGCCTAAGCCGAAGTCTAAGCCTATGCCGAAGCCTGAGCCTAAGCCTAAGCCCAAGCCTGGACCGTAGACGTATGTAAGACCTGCTTCAGCTAATTTCTCGGAAACCTAAGCTTAATTTTAAACCAAGCCCAATCCCCCAGTCCGTCCATTATTCCAGTCCCTAAATTTTCCAGACAGGTCGGTGGTCCAATCCGTTTGGGGTCCCAAATCGTATCGGTGGGGTGTTGAATGAGGGCCCAGAGGAGGAGGAGGCGAGCAGTGTCCACTAGCAGGCCCCGGGAATTCGTTCCAGGGGGCCAAAAGGCGAGAGAGAGAGAGAGAGAGAGAGAGAGAGAGAGATACCGCTCTAGAGTGAGAGACACGAGACGTCGTGCGGTGGTCAGCACAACAAGGGGGCGTGACCGAACGCTTCACTCCCCGTCCCCGCAACGGGACCGGGCTAGTCTAGCCCCAACCCAGTGCAGGGAGGGACACACTGAGGCTCGTGTGCCCCCAGGGCACGAAAGTCAATGCTCTTCGCCCTGGCCAGCACCGGGGAGGGGGGATGGGGTGGAGAGCTCGTCTCGTTCGTGGGGGTATTCCGGGGTGTTCCTCCTCTCAATACGCCGGCTTCTTCACCCCCGCATGGCCCAGTTACGTGATCCTGTCTTCAGGCTGGTTCCCTAGTCTTTTATCTGGGGTTTTCTTAAGCTAGCTACTAGCTAGAAGTACTCTCCTTTGACTTCTTGACTTTAGTGCGGCTTTAAAATTGTATCTTTTATGGTTTCAACCTCAGCGCTCTTGGCTACTATTTATCTATGCATCCGGCTTTCGAGCCGTAAACTTAAAAAACACCCTTTCCGAAGCTGTCGGATTTTCTGCCTTCAATGCTCCTTTAGAAGGGCCCTAAACAGCTAATTGGGGATTATTTCTGAATTTTGTAATTCTTATTCTTTTAGACAGGTATTTTCAACCTTCACTGGCCCTTTAAAAAAATTTTTGAGCAAACGCATCATTTTCGTGCCCTTTGCATGGTTAGGTATCTAAAGTTATCGTAAAGACGTCTAGTGGCGCTAATTTTCCATAAAAAAATTTACTCCTCAATTCGCCCCGTCTTACAGTAGAATTCAGAATATTAGTATCGCTTAATTTTCTGCGATTCTGAAATGCTATCCCTGTCACCGTCTCTTTAAAATGCTGCCTAGAATTTTCTACGGCCTTTCAAACTGAAATTCAAAAATTTTTAGGCTTCCTGGTGATAATTCAGCTACAAATACTCCAAATTTCTAATTGCCTTCAACATCCCTTTAAAACCATTTTATTCCAGTTAAACGACCGTACCGCCTGCGCCCTGGCGTCCTCAGCGGCTGCAGAGGGGGCTGGTGAGTTTTGGAAAATCTTTTTTTCTGATTTTGATAAGCGAAATCCCAATCAAAAGCTATATTTCCCATTTAGAAAATGCCCCAATCCTGTCCCCACCCCATACCTGGACGGAGAGCAGCGACGAATCCACCGTAGGTCTTCAAGCAGTTCAGCTCTAAATCTGGGCGTTTTGTCCAGAATCTTAACAATGTAAAATGTAATGTAAAAAGTTTACGATGTAAAAAATCTATAAATTCCACCTTGATTTAGAGCGACGAAACGGCGCGCCAGGACGAGCGGCTCCTCTTTACGGCCACCGTCTCGATCCCGGACGGCTCGATCCTAGCCAGTCAGCCCGTTTCCAACGCCTATGAGGCCAAGGTATGCATTAATAAACGAATACCTGCAGCTTACCTATTTTAAAGGGAGCGTGACAGCAGAGTCAAGAGCAAGTCTTGGTATCACTGTCTCTTTAAACAATATTGGAAGTTTTCCTGGCCAAAAAATCTGTTTCAAAATTTTGAATCTAGCTTTGAAAAGTGTACGGTATCTCAGAGTGTTTATTCCGTTTCAAAACAATTTAAGTAGCTGTTATAATTTCTTTAAAAAGAGCTATGCTATGCCAAAGCTTTAATTCCGGTTTCCGCCCATTGCCCTGGCTGTCGCCATCCCTTCAAAACTGGCTTACCGTATCCCCTGTATCTCGTAGTCGATTTATAGGCATAGGCAACTTTATACGCACCTGTCTCAGTCCCTTTAAAATCTGCAATTTTCAGGAACTCGAAGTCGGTACCTGCTTCTTGAAGCTACTCCTCGGCACCGGCCAAAGTTTCTTCCTCTCCGCCGCCGCCACCTCGATTCGACAGCGCGTCTTTTCGAGGGTGAAATGGTGGGTGTTATGCTAATTTCATGCCTTGAACTTGGCCCTCCTTTTTTCTACTTGGTGCTCCTTAAGACGAAGCCTGAGCCCAAGCTTCTCCCTTGAAACTCCCTCCTCCTTCCTCTCTCCCTCCCTTCCTCTCCCTCGCTTTCCAACCGATTACTCCATGAAATCCGTATATTTTCGACCCGTTTCCCCGTTTGAAGTAATTTCCCTGAGATCTATTAATGGTTAGACACCTCCTAATCGTCCTTTGTATCGCTTCGTACCTGCGTATTCCACCCCCCACCGTGGTACGGGGAGGCTCGATTCCATTCAACCGTCCCTCCGTCCATCCGGAGTGTCGCGTACACCCTCAGGGGATGGTGTCTCTCTCTCGCTCTCTCTCTCTCCCTCTCTCTCTCTCTCTCTCTCTCTCTCTCTCTCTCTCTCTCTGCCCCTGCAATGTTTGGTGGTGGGGGATAAATTTGGGGTGGGGTGGTGTTCCTGAGGGGGGGGCTCTCTGTGCTAGTCGTGACGCGTGCACCGGGTGGCTCGACGACCGAAATGCGCGAAACAGGACACGGTCCAGAGGGAGAGAGAGAGAGAGAGAGAGAGGCGCCGACAAACCCCTAAAAGTCGCACTATAGGCTGGCACCGGATGAGACGCTCAAATCCGGAACACCACCCCCGTCCCCATCTTGGTGGATGAGAGACCACCCGCTGGGCAACAGGGTTTTCGGTTTGAAATTTTGAACTGTGGATGGGGTATCGAAAGTTCGGGAGCAGAAAATTGAAGCATAAGCCCAAGCCCAAGCCTAAGCCTAAGCATAAGTCTAAGCCGAAGCCAATGGGTAAGCCTAAGCCTAAGCGTACGCCTAAGCCTAAGCGAAGCCTGAATCTAAACCTAAGCCTAAGCCTAAGCCCGAGCGTGGGCCTGAACCGAAGCTTCATGAGCGACCGGCAAACTTATGACCTAAGCCCCAGTCCAAAGCTCAAGCCTATACGCCGCACCTTGAACCAAGAAAATTTACGACGTTCCTACAACTAGTCAACTCCATCTACCCTCCCCCTCTTCCTATCGTAACCGGTTCTTCAAGCCCAAACCCCTGCCCTAAAACCCTGTCCTCGAGCAATTCCGCCCCAATCCAATTGACACCACCGGATTACAAGGGCTCGACCCCAGGAAAAGTACACATTCCCACGGGGTGGCTGGCCGTGTTGCCCTGTAACAAGTGTGTGCGGCTGCGGTCGGTCAGAAGTCAGCGCGTGCAGAGGGAGCCTTGTTGACAGAGAGGGCGCAGAGAAAGAGGGAGGGGAGGGAGTGGTCAAGGGATAGAGGGTGGAGGGAGATATAGGGCGGCTGGCACGTACTAGGGAGGCTCTTCCCTTGTCTCTCTCTCTCCTCTCTCTCTCTCTCTCTCTCTCTCTCTCTGCGGCTGGAGTGAGGGGGGTATTGGTCAGCAGTGAAGGGGTAAGCCCGGCACTGGCTGAGACAATGCTAATCGGGGGTGCTACCCCACCACGAGGTGCGAATTGGTGATGAGGGGTGAGGTGAAAATTTGGGTTTTGGAGCTTTTGGGGTGAAACCGAAGCCTAAGCTAAGCCCGAGCTTAACCCCGAGTCCAAGCCCGAGCCTAAGCCCGAGCCTAAGCCCAAACCTAAGCTCAAGCCTAAGCCCAGGCCTAAGCCTAAGTCTAAGGCTAAACCTAAGCCTAAGCCTACGCAAGCCTTAGCCGAAACCTAAGCACAAACTTAGACACCCCATTTTTTCCTACTAGTTTCTAAGCTCCAATTTGATCCAAAGTTCCGGAATTTTTTAAACATCTCATTTTCGATTCTAGTAACTCAGCTTTACATTTATTTTTGAGCCTCAGCTCATGCTCAGCTTGATAAATTGATGAGCTGTAACCGGAACACCACTTTTTACGTCGCGCTAACAACGAAGCGCCATGACCCCTGACGTTGCAAAAAGTGCGACCTATCTGTTTCGTTTCCGTTTTCTGCCTCTCTCTCGCTCGCGCTTTCTCTCTCTTGCTCTCTCTCACTCTCTCGCTAGATCTCTCGCCCCCTTTATCAGCAGCGTTCCAAGCCCTGGAAGCCGAAGAGAGGAGGAGTAGTGTGCTTGGAACGGAGCGAGCCGGGCTGGCTGGTGGTGGTGGCTGGCCGGGATGGGGGGTCGGGTGCTTGGTGGTGGTGGATGGGACGGGACACGGGACGGGGGAGCCCCGCTCTTCCCTCTCCCCATTCCCACGCTCTCTCGCCCCCTTTTCGTCTGTGGCTCCCCTTTCTCCGCACTCACTCCCCCGTCCCTCCCCTAAAGTGCAACCCGCGGCTCGTCGAGGTGGTGAGGGACACCGCCTGGGGGTGCCATCTACGGGCCCCACCCCTAACCCAGCACCACAACACACACCCCAGGGGCTGGAGATGGACACGATGTGCCGGGTGGAAAAGTGAAGCCATTCCGGGGCAGTACCCTGAACGCTCCGTGGTCTACAGTAGCCTCTGGAAGCTATTTTCTGGATTAGGCAATTTTATTAGACCTTATTTAGTTCTTAAGGGGGGGCGGGGGGGGTTGGGGGGGAAAGGGAGGGGCGGGGGCCGGGGGGGGGGGGGGCCCCCCGCGGGGGGGCGGGGGGGGGGGGGGGAAACAAAAGGGCAAAGGGGGGGGGGGGGGGGGGGGGGGGGGGGCGCGGGAGGGGGGGGGGGGGGGGGGACGGCCCGGGCAGGGGGGGGGCGGGGCCCCTACGTCCTTGGGGGGGGGTAGGGGGGGGGGAGGGGAACGAGCACTCCCTGAACGTGCGCTTTAACTGTATACCTAGAAAATATTTAGCTTCCATGAAGTCAAGTAGCTTTATGCTTAGGCTTTGGCTTCGGCTTTGGATTAGGCGTAGGGTTTTACTAAGGCTTAGGCTCAGGCTTGGGCTTAAGCGTAGGCTTAGGCTTATTCTTATCCACTACATCTCCATTCTTCATTAAAAATTGGATACTAAAGCAAAAAATCATTTCCAAACCACCGTATTTCCAGTGGGGCGACGAGTCGGGCGTGCGAGCTGCAATGTGAGTTCGAGCAGGGCGCCGACGGGCAGCGCAAGGCGCGTGTGGCCGCACTCTGCTTAAGGTGAGCTGAATTACTTTTATTAAGCGCTATACCTTTGCCACCAACCCCAGAATTTTATCAAAATTACCGTACCCCTTCCAGATCAGCCTTCGGCCCCACCGCCGGCCCCGTCCAGCCGACCTCGTTCACCACCAAGCACTCGCTGAGCTGCGCACTGACTCATATCGACTACGCGTGAGTACCAGGATTACAGTCCCTTCATTATGATGTTTATAGGAGCGTCCCGTTCATTGGTCATCTACCGACCGACGTGATTGGGCGGTCGCTGTTGTCATTCGTCTACGCCCCGGATGTGCACATCATCAGACAGGCGCACCTCGACTGTAAGTTGATTTTCGGCAAAAATAAGCCTAGAAACCCGTAAAAATTTATGAAACCTAGTGACCTAGTTACTATTTATGAAACCCACCCTTTCCAGTGCACAACCAACAAGGCGGAGTCGTCCGGTCGATCGGCCCGATCCGGCTGGTCGCCTACAACGGCGCGCTGTTGACCGTGGAGACCGAGTGGTCGGCGTACATCTCGCCGTGGAGCCGCAAGATCGAGATGGTCGTCGCCAGGCATCGTGTCTTTGACGCGCCAGTTGGAGGTGAGCAGCGTTATAAGCTACTTTAACTGGTTGTGAAAAATTTGCATTACCTCTCCTTATAATGAAAGTTATAGCTCTTATTAAAATCAAATTATAGACGCTGATGTTCTATCGCCACCTCCGGCCGGTACCCCAACCTTCACGTTACCCCTACCTCTCGTGAAAACCTTTGAAGAGGAGTTGAAGACGATCATGAGCCGGGTAAGTCAATAATTTTTAAGAACCACAAACGGGTCAATTTTTGATCGAGCCACACCCAAAAAAGGAAAACTCGGGCTAATTCCAACATTTTCAGCCAGTCCACGACAGCCCTGCCACCACCCCGACCCTCACGAACCCGTTCGCCCAATTCCAGGCCCTGCAAGCCATCCGGCCACTCTATCCATTAGGTAAGGTTTTTTAATGTATCCCTCAATACCTTGTTCATCGCCAGGTCTCTCTACCCAATCCCCCGATCTCTACTCGTACGTCGAGCGCCTTGTCGAGAACCTCGTCGTCCAGGGTACCCCCGGAAACGTTCATGAGCAATTGGCGCATTTCCAGCAGCAGGTAAGAAGCATTTCCCATAAATTTAAGGTGTAAGGATAACCAAGGGAACCATAGGTATCTAACCGTAATTTTTTCAGGACAAACCGACCTCGTCCTCAGCCCCGGCCACCCCATCCCCGATGGTCAACGCCGAAGGCGCACCCCTCTCCTACAGCCAAATCAACTGCCTCGAGAATGTGCACCGATTACTCAAGAGCCAACAAACACCAGCCCATGAACGCCCACAACCTGTTGTACATGATCTCAGGTGAGTTCAGCACTTTTTGGAATCTTATTGATCCTGAAAAATGTCGCGGCTCCTTTAACGATATCTTTTTAGTGCCGCCCAAGATAGCCTACCCCTCACGCGAGCCGTCCTCCTCGAACACACCCGGAGATGGGAGGAGCAGTGCAAGACGACGTGGCACCACCGGTTGACCCGGAAACGCCATCAGAACCACGATGGAAGCGAGCAGGGAGCAGAACCCACCACCGCCAAGAAGAGCCGCAGCGGGGCGAGGTCGCCAAAGTGGACAGCGCCCAGGCCGTTGCCGCCGAACCCGTCACCACCTACAGCGTATCAGGTGAGGGAGAAAGAGCGGAAGGAGCTTACCTCGAAAAGTACACCTAAAAATCGGGAAATGCCTTTGAAAAGACTTATCTAACTCAAAAATTCCAGATCACAAGCACCCCTCTACCAGCCGCCGGCACCCCTCGCCCATCGGCCTTCCACCAAGTCGCGCCGCGCTCTATCGTGCGCCCTGGCACCGTACCCGGCCCGTCTGTCATCCAGCCAACCCACGTACACCGCCAGTTCGCCACCCCGCCACCGCCACAACCACCGGCCGATTGCTTGCTCCTCTCCTCCGACTAGGCGCAATTGTCTTTCAAAAGTCTTTCTTGTCACCGGGGTGTTGAGGCCATAGCCTAGGCCCCTAAGCTGAAATTAGCCAATCCCCACTCAACACCCCGCTGGCCCTAGTTCAAATTAGGAATACGGTACCCGCAAAGCTTTCGTCTCGATTCCGATCACCACTGCCTAATTCCCCTCTCCCACATCCCCCTCCTCCCCGATTACCGGTGATTTGCCCCAAAAATTTGATACTACCCGTCCCAGCGCTCTTTCACAAACCCCCGACGCGAATGCCTCACTTTTATTGATACCTTTTGATGTGTTAATTTATATGCGGTAGCTCGTAATCTCGACCAAGTGATGTTTTTATATGGACTCCCCCTCTCACTCCATGTCTTTCATCGTCATAGCGCCATTTCGCCCTCCCGACAAAGTCTAGATTTTGCGTGGCTGTCAGTTTCGGGTAGCATAGGATGAGCAGCAGGTTTTAAAGGTATCCTGATTTGTCAGGATACCTTAAAAACTTTAAAAACCGCACTAAACTCCCCGCGACTCCGGCAGCCGCACAAATCTGGGACCTCACCTCACTTATCCCCCCATGCAAACCTTTGTGATGATTCGGCCCTCAAAGCCCATTCCGGTCGCATTCTTTTCATCATCTTTCATTTATATTAAGATTTTAACGGTAACTTTTTATTATACAATGTTATGCGCCTGATTTCCCTCACCCCGCAACGTCTTTCACGAAGCGTGCCTGGCCCGGGGTCGAAAGACCCTGGCAGCCGCTCCACCCCGTCGATAGCGGTGACTTTTGTGTGCAATTTTCCATTGATTTCTATGTGACTCTCCCCCTCCCCTTAGCTCATTACTATACTATTTATTGATTCCGGCAACAAAAACATTGATTTCGAATTTTCACACGTGATTCTGCCAACAGCGCGCTTTCCTTCCCCCATCGTTTACCACCCGTCTCGTCGCCCACCCCTGTACTTATGTTTTGTGGATTTTTATGGCTTTCGTTTGTGGAGAATAAAAACTTAAAGAAAAACCTTTTTGTTGCAAAGCATACTATCAAAAGTTATATGCAAATTACCGGCTCATTTAAAAACAATACTTGGCACCTTCCTGGGTGAAACGGTTCCTGAAACGACAAAATTGAAAAACTTCAAAAATATTCCTTAAAATTCCAAACAAGGAAAACTCTTAAAATGGAAGCGATACCGCTGGATTTTGCAAACGCGGCAAATTTTATTTCAAGTTAAACGCACTTTACCGACCCTTTAATTAAAAGCATTAATTTCGTGCTTTCTGAGCGTAAAAGCTCTTGAAAACCTCGAAAAATATCAACGAATATCCGTGATTATTACAACGCACAAAAAAACTTTTAAATTTGAAGCGATACCCGTCATTTATAAACTCACAACCGATTTTCGAAATTCCGCCCCACCTCCCCGGCCCCTCTCCTCTTTCGCGCTCTCTGCACTTGCCCAACCCTTTTGACCGCGTAACACGGAACGGTAACCTCGCCTAGGACCATACCACGTTGAAAGCACGGCATCCCGTCCGATCTGCCAAGTTAAGCAACGTTGGGCTCGGTTAGTACTTGGATCGGAGACGGCTTGGGAATCCCGAGTGTCGTAGGCTTTTTTGGAATTTTGTTTGTGTCAAAAATGCCCCCGGGTTATGGCGTTGATAAGAAATTGCGCGCGTTTCGAAATGATCTCTCTTCCCCACAATTTTTGGTTCAGTTTCCATGTTGTTTTCGTTTTCTGCATTACATAATTTAATTTTCAGGTAACCCCTACGACTTGTCGCGCTTCTCCAATGGCATCAAACGAGGAAATACAACGAAAGAAGAAGTTTGTTCAGGCATATGAACTTTTATTTTGCTTTTTTCAGGCAATACGGGCTCGTCCTGAAAAAGCCAAATCAAGTAACGAACGTGAAGGTGATTGCGCCAATTTTTGGCGGATCGGACGATGAGCTGGATTCCTCGGTTGGTACTTTTTTGTTTCTTGAATGTTATTTAGGATGCACCGAAGCAAGGAAACTCGGGCGCTAGTCTACGTACGTTAAAAGGTATAGCTAACTTATTAAGCTTTCATTTCAATTTGTTTTTAGAAGCCGAGCGACTGCAGCAACAAGCACTGGCCGCCGACCCAACAATTTTCGACTATGACAAGAATTATGATGAGATCCAGCGAAAACGCGATGAAAAGGTAGTTTTATTCTTTTAGATCTGATGAAGGCGTTTTTAGAAAGCAGAAGACAAAGTAAAGGACAAGGAACGCCAATCTAAATATGCTGATGATATTATGAGGGTAAACCTTTTATTTTCTTGCGTTTTTAGAACGTTTTAGGCGCATATGATACGTAATTTGGAGGAGAAAAGTCGCGAAGAACGATTGCAACAAAGGGAACGCATAAAGGTTGTTGTTTTCACATATTTTTATGGATTTTTTTTGTAGGAAAAAGGTGAATTCGACGAGAAGGAAGTGTTTGTTACGGGTGCTTATCGTCAACTGATGGAGGAGGTTGAGGTCTATCGCAAAGAAGAAGCACGTCAGAATCTTATTGACGGTTTGTTCTTTCCGGTTTGATTTATTACTATTTGTAGAGGCAACCGCTATCGACAAACAGAAAATTTGGCAATCTGGATTTGCGAGGACGATTTTATCATCGATCGCTCGAGATGGGGATGACGGGACGACGTCTGTAAAGGTTCGATTATCCTTTTTCTTGTACCTATCTTTTATTTAGCAAGAACCCGAGACAGCTGAGAAGCCCGTGGAGTTCAAGCCGCGCAAAGCCACTAATATTCGCAAGCGGGAGAAGAGCGCCGAGCCGTCCGAAGACAAGAAAGATTCCGACAAGCCGAAGAAGTCGATTTACGACACTGATGACGAAGAGGAGGCCCCGAAACCAACGCATAAAAACTTTGGTGTGGAATTGAGGGCCGGATTGAACAAACCAGCGGTGAGTTTAGGGATGTAAATATGTCTTAACTTTTATTTTAGGCTAAACCCGAGGAAAACACAGAAAAAGCGCTGACCAAGGCCGAGCGTCTACGTCGCGCGATGACCCCAAGTGACGAGGAGGGTGAAGTAGAACGGAGAGATCGAAGGGCCGACAGGTATATAAATTTTTTTTAAACGATACATCGGTTTCTTAGAAAATCCAAAAAGCCTGAGCCGAAGGAAGAGGAGCCGGCCGAAGTTGACGAAAAACCAAGACCGAAACAACCGAAGGCACCCCGGCCTGGAACACAAGTATTTTTTTTCTACTTTTCTTTCGCTATTCTTGCGCGATAGCTCCTATCTTTTAGCATGCTATGCGTCGCATGAACGACCGAAAAACGGATGAATCTGTACTCTTAATTTTTCTTTTATTGCTTTTTTCTGGTGGTGTATTTGGGCTTTCGGGTTTCTGGCGGGTTTTCATAATAACAATACGATTTTACCAAATATTGTCTTTTTTTTAGGAAGCGAAGCAGTTGCGTCTCGAGAGCTTCAAGAAAGTGCTGGCGCAGCGCAACGGCCCCAAGGAGATCGAGGAAGCCCGTCAGCGTTACCTGGAACGCGTTGCAGATAGCGTTGTAACATTACCGTATTGAAATTTATTATTATGCCGGTTGTTTTGTTTCGCAGTTGGGCGTTGTTTTTCGAATGTCTTTTAGAATTTGTCGCAAATAAATGGATCAGACTACTTTTGAGGTGTAGTAGACGATACCTAAATACAAGAGATTAGTAGATTCCTAAAATCTCTAGAAAATATGCACGGTTCCATGATAATCCTTATCTCCATAGTAGCACGATTTGCTAGCAGTGTCGAAAATGGACTTCGACGTTCTTATCGAAGACGCAACAAACCTAATCGAATTCTGACTGAAATATGGGTCACACCACGAATGCCAAACCCGCAGCGGCTTGATAGAGGTTGATTTGTGCACTCCCTTTTGGGGAATGCGTTCCAAAATTTGTTCGAAACACTCTTTGAAGAGGTCTCGGGGTTAATGCTAACCTCAAACTTGGGTAATTAAACCGAAGCTGTGGATGGGTCGGGGCTCTTCTCACATATGGACACTACAGGTCGATGTGTCTACACGGGCAACCACCCAACGAGCGATCTCTCGTTGTTTGCGTCTCGGAGTGTTTCGTACACTCACCACCCCCGACATTCCATCTTTCCTATCCACAGTCTCTCCATTGGGGGGAGTGGTCGGGAAGTCCCAGAGAGACGCAGACAACGAGAGATCGCTCGCTGTGGGGCTGCCCGGGTAGACACACCGACCTGGAGTGTCCATATGTGTCTGTCCGGGCAACCACACAGGCAGCAATCTCTCGTTGTCTGCGTCTCTCTGGGGAGTCCCGACCCTACACTGGGGGAGAGACGGTGCAGAGGAAAGAGGGGAATGTCGGGGTGATGAGTGTATGAGACACTCCGAGGTGTTTAAAAAATTCTTGTTTTAACAGAATTTATGCCCTTCCCATTTATAGTTCCCCGTATACGGTGGAATAGTCTGGGTTTGAGCTTTTAGGCTTGGAAGCGCGAGCGTTCTTCTTGTCAACGACGCCGTAAGCATCGTCATCTCCGATTCTTCCGTATGGCTCCTTCTCCGCGGCGACGTCGACCTTCACCTCTTGGATTGAGTACTCTGGCGCCTTGCTGTCGCCACGTTCACTGAAAGTGATCTCGGTTTCATAGGGCTTGGTTAGGACTTACTACATCCCATCGAAAAGCAGCCGCAGGGTTCCGACCCTCGGTTGTGGCTGGGCCAAGGCTGTATTCAAAGCCTTGTGGTCCTCGATCAGCTGTTTTTCCTCGTGGTACCTAAAGTGGGATGGACCAAACGTGAAAGAAATTACTTGGCTCGCTCGAGACATAGTAGAACTAGGACTACCACCAGGATAGTTGCCAACAAGACGAAGAAGACGGCGATGAGGATGATGACGGAGAAGGGGACTTGCGCGTGGACTACAGGCTCACGTTCAGCTCCTAGTGCCGAGACCTGCCCAGCCAGGCCAAGGGCTCCGCTTCGGAGACGTGGAAGGCTCTAGGAAAGGGATATTTCTATTATTTTTGGTTTCGCACTTCTGCAGCCGAGAGTAGCTTCAGTTGCGTCTCGTCTAGTGTTGGTTTTTAGTCCAAAGTCCACGGACTTTTTCGGACTAAAAAGTCCGCGGACTAAAAAGTCCACGGACTTTTTCGGACTAAAAAGTCCGCGGACTAAAAAGTCCGCGGACTTTTTCGGACTAAAAAGTCCGCGGACTAAAAAGTCCACGGACTTTTTCGGACTAAAAAGTCCGCGGACTAAAAAGTCCACGGACTTTTTCGGACTGAAAAGTCCGCGGACTAAAAAGTCCACGGACTTTTTCGGACTGAAAAGTCCGCGGACTAAAAAGTCCACGGACTTTTTCGGACTGAAAAGTCCGCGGACTAAAAAAGTCCACGGACTTTTTCGGACTAAAAAAGTCCGCGGACTAAAAAGTCCACGGACTTTTTCGGACTAAAAAGTCCGCGGACTAAAAAGTCCACGGACTTTTTCGGACTGAAAAGTCCGCGGACTAAAAAGTCCACGGACTTTTTGGATTGCAAAAGTCCGCGGACTAAAAAGTCCACGGACTTTTTGGATTGCAAAAGTCCGCGGACTTTTTAGTCGTGGAACCTCGGGGGTTTTGAATTAAAAAAGTCTGCGCCAGCATTTCCGCTTCCCATTCGTTTATGGCTCGACGAAAAAACCCGCAAACCATTTTTAATTGGCATGTGGTAACCATCCATCGCTCTTATTGTTAGACGCGGGCGGCAGAATAGGCCATAATTGTGCCGTTAGTTTGTCTGTGTTTTGGTCTTGGTTCGGTTTGTTTGCCGAGAAAGGCTTTATCAGAAGTGAAACGTAACAACAAATGAGACTCTACACAACAAGAACAACAATATCGGCCTTAGGAAACTTTCAATCTAACAAAAACCAACAAAAAAGGGGCTCTGAGTGAGCAGATTTAGGGCTTTTTCCTGGGTTGCGACCGGGTCGGGTGGAGAGCATTGCTCTTCAAGTGTCGGCAGTCATATCTGAAAGGAGGTTTTGAAGATGATCAGATATTACCTCGTTATCCTCGAAAAAAAACTCTTCCGGTGGGTGAGATTTTAGGGCTTCTTCTTGCGCAATTTCCTCTTTGTAAAGCAGATAGTCTTCATCCTCTTCCGCAAGCTCCTTCAAGGCCGGCTCACCATTGACCATCTGAACGGAAAAGTTTCGGATACCAGAAGGGGATACTACCTGGTCGGTTAGCGTCTGGACCAGAATTCGATTCTCGGCATCAAGTAGGGCAAGTTCGGGATAGGGATCCGATGCTGCGGCCGCCCTAGAAAGGACATTGGCTTCAAGCACCGGAACGTACCAAAGTTTTGCAGCCCTCTCGGCGGCCAGGTGATGAGAAATGAATAGCATCTTTGATGCCCGCTTCGGATCCAAACGGTTCCGTTGTTGATTCACGTAGAGCAGGCCGGCACGAGAGAAAACCCTCTCACATTGAACAGAGGCGGGGAGACGGACAAAAGCGCAGCCGCGACCCTAAACATAAATATTAAAGATAGAAACATCGCGTACCTTTGTAGCAATGGACATCGCCGAGGGTTCTTCCAAAAAGCGTGTCACATAATCACCGGAATCCAAGTACACGGGGCAATTCTCGGACTCGAAGGCTTCTTTTATCAGCATCAACTCTATCTGAAATGGAGATACCAGGGAAAAGCCGCCCCGACCTTGATGCTTTCCTCGACGTCCTTCGGCTTGCGGAGATGCGTCAGGTCGAGCCGCTGTGTAGGGGCGGTCAGCAAGGCGCCAATGGGGTCGTTAGCTTCGTCCCCTTGGGTGCTAGCCCAGGATCGTTTTCTTGGCGCTGGATTCTCGTACTGCGACGGCCCGACAGACTCGGACGGCTCTACGCTCTGGAGTAAATCTAAGAAAAACTCAGTATAAGTTGATTATTTACCTTTTCCAAGAGCAACTAGCGCGCCCTCCTGAACAGCCATATCTTCCTCAGAGAAGACCCTGACCGAGCCCCATGAATAAGGGCACAAGGCCGCTGCGGCTAGGATCAATTTGCTGCGCTTCGCTGCCTGAACCTGCTGTTCACATCCGCGGACAATCAATTTACCTCCACCCGAGTCGCCAACTGCTCCGCCATCCTTTCGGCTAATTTGGTGCCAACCTCGGTGCGGTATTGATGGCTGCTATGGTACGGCACGTTACCGATAAGAAGAAATCACTAACCTTTCAAAGCCCTTCTGCAAGATATTCAGGGCATACATATATTCGAAAATCGTGATCTGATCAGCGGAGAACTAAACCAACATTGAATAGAGAAGTAGTTAAACTCACTTTTTTGGTAAACCAATGAAAATACTTCAATATTTGAAGGAGATCTTCAATGATTTGCCACTCATCTTCGGCAATCTCGAACATGCCCTTCTGCACTCGCATAGCTTCATAGACTTGCCGCTAAAAGAGACATTGCGACCCATTTTGATTTTCTCAACCTGTCGGAAGAAAAGGGCCAACATCTCATAGGTAGCACCCCAGCGAGTTCTGACGTCTAGCAGGGCTCGTCTCACAGGGATTCCCCACTTCTTTTGCAGCCTAAATAAAATTAAAGTTATTGGATCCTTAGCTTACTCTTCAAATAATGCTTTTAGCCTTGTAGATTTGCGAATCGTCTTGATGTTATGACGGATTCTCGACAAAAGATCTTCGATTTTCGGATCGTCGAGCCCGGCGAGAACGACCAGTTGTAGCAGGTGGGCAATGCAGTGAACCCAAGTCTCGTCACTAGAAGAAAAGGTATAGCGAAATGTCTGGGGTTACCTTAATCCCGCCTTCGTAGCGAGTCGCCTCGATGCACACTTTTCATTCGCGGCACCATCGGTGGTGAAGCCAACCAATTTCTCAAATGGAATTTGGAAATCTCGCAGATCCTCCAGGACTATCTAAATATACTATTTTAGACCGCCAATCGCGGAGTAAACTTGCCTCGGAAAGGAATGTGGCATCTTGTTTCTTGTTAGTCACGTCTTCAATTGATAACAGGGCATTTTGTCGCGTCATCTGTGCGTCAGACCAGTGAATGTATGTGCTAAAATGGGGAAGCTTAATAAAATGATTCAATTTTACCAATGTAGGCTGACAGTATTTGCCTTCGACGACCAGGAGTCAAAACTTAGCCCGATATTTACCGCATCCTTCAGCCTCTCGCACAACAGATTCTAAATAACAATTAGGAACATCGTAGATCCGCCAACCTTTAGTTCCCCGTACCGCCTGTCGAGGATTGGTCCCGACAATGCATGCCGCGTCGGTCCTTTGGTTCGCCCACCACTCACTGCCAATGTATATTCCCTAAACCAAGGATCAAGCTTAGACGCAACACCTACTTCCAATCGTGATTCTCCACAATGTTGAACGACAGATTAGCTGACAGTATCAGGTTCAGGCATTTATCGTCAATCTCCTGCTAAACATCCTTTTCCATGAATCAATCCTTAAAATTATACCGGTCTTTTCTGCAGGAGCTGCCGCGGGCTAGCCTTGTCGCTGACGGGCCTTTTTGGGCTAGGGGCCTATGTATATAGCTTGATAGTCGACCAGAAAAATATTACCTCTGGATTATCACCGTCCAGATGTTTCTTCAGATGGCGGCCGATTGCCGACAGCCCGCCTTTGGTGATGAACATCGCCCCACAGAAGTTGCATTTTGAGGAATCTCCGACCGTAACAATGTGCTGCCGAATCGTCGTCGCACTGCCAAAGCATTCATTAGTATGACATAAACACTGACCTGTAATTCTCTCCCCTTGTTAGACGCGGATCATCTGCCGACCCTCCCATTTTACCAAGTTCTACCTGAAAATATAACGATTACTTGGCCGCAAATTTAAACCGTGTAAGAGAAAACGACAAGGACAATTGTATATTTCGATGTAGATGAGATGGCGTGCCAATTAAAAATGGTTTGCGGGTTTTTTCGTCGAGCCATAAACGAATGGGAAGCGGAAATGCTGGCGCAGACTTTTTAATTCAAAACCCCCGAGGTTCCACGACTAAAAAGTCCGCGGACTTTTGCAATCCAAAAGTCCGTGGACTTTTTTAGTCCGCGGACTTTTCAGTCCGAAAAAGTCCGTGGACTTTTTAGTCCGCGGACTTTTCAGTCCGAAAAAGTCCGTGGACTTTTTAGTCCGCGGACTTTTTAGTCCGAAAAGTCCGTGGACTTTTAGTCCGCGGACTTTTTAGTCCGAAAAAGTCCGTGGACTTTTTAGTCCGCGGACTTTTCAGTCCAAAAGTCCGTGGACTTTTTAGTCCGCGGACTTTTAGTCCGAAAAAGTCCGTGGACTTTTAGTCCGCGGACTTTTAGTCCGAAAAGTCCGTGGACTTTTTAGTCCGCGGACTTTTCAGTCCGAAAAAGTCCGTGGACTTTTTAGTCCGCGGACTTTTCAGTCCGAAAAGTCCGTGGACTTTTTAGTCCGCGGACTTTTCAGTCCGAAAAAGTCCGTGGACTTTTTAGTCCGCGGACTTTTAGTCCGAAAAGTCCGTGGACTTTTAGTCCGCGGACTTTTTAGTCCGAAAAGTCCGCGGACTTTTTTAGTCCGCGGACTTTTAGTCCGAAAAGTCCGTGGACTTTTTAGTCCGCGGACTTTTTAGTCCGAAAAAGTCCGCGGACTTTTTAGTCCGCGGGACTTTTTAGTCCGAAAAGTCCGTGGACTTTTTAGTCCGCGGACTTTTTTAGTCCGAAAAAGTCCGTGGACTTTGGACTAAAAACCAACACTAGTCCGCGGACTTTTCAGTCCGAAAAGTCCGTGGACTTTTTAGTCCGCGGACTTTTTAGTCCGAAAAAGTCCGTGGACTTTTTAGTCCGCGGACTTTTTAGTCCGAAAAGTCCGTGGACTTTTTAGTCCGCGGACTTTTCAGTCCGAAAAAGTCCGTGGACTTTTTAGTCCGCGGACTTTTTAGTCCGAAAAAGTCCGTGGACTTTTAGTCCGCGGACTTTTTAGTCCGAAAAAGTCCGTGGACTTTTTAGTCCGCGGACTTTTCAGTCCGAAAAAGTCCGTGGACTTTTTAGTCCGCGGACTTTTCAGTCCGAAAAAGTCCGTGGACTTTTTAGTCCGCGGACTTTTTAGTCCGAAAAAGTCCGTGGACTTTTTAGTCCGCGGACTTTTTAGTCCGAAAAAGTCCGCGGACTTTTAGTCCGCGGACTTTTTAGTCCGAAAAGTCCGTGGACTTTTTAGTCCGCGGACTTTTTAGTCCGCGGACTTTTCAGTCCGAAAAAGTCCGTGGACTTTTTAGTCCGCGGACTTTTCAGTCCGAAAAAGTCCGTGGACTTTTTAGTCCGCGGACTTTTTAGTCCGCGGACTTTTTAGTCCGAAAAAGTCCGTGGACTTTTTAGTCCGCGGACTTTTAGTCCGCGGACTTTTAGTCCGAAAAAGTCCGTGGACTTTTTTAGTCCGCGGACTTTTAGTCCGCGGACTTTTCAGTCCGAAAAAGTCCGTGGACTTTTTAGTCCGCGGACTTTTTAGTCCGAAAAAGTCCGTGGACTTTTTGAGTCCGCGGACTTTTCAGTCCGAAAAGTCCGTGGACTTTTTAGTCCGCGGACTTTTCAGTCCGAAAAGTCCGTGGACTTTTTAGTCCGCGGACTTTTTAGTCCGAAAAAGTCCGTGGACTTTTTTAGTCCGCGGACTTTTTTAGTCCGAAAAAGTCCGCGGACTTTTTAGTCCGCGGACTTTTTAGTCCGAAAAAGTCCGTGGACTTTTTAGTCCGCGGACTTTTTAGTCCGAAAAAGTCCGTGGACTTTGGACTAAAAACCAACACTAGTCTCGTCGAAGAGTAGAAAATGCAAATCTGAGGTGTCCGCAACGGGACGATCCTCGACGCGATGCACATCTACCTCGATGGGGATCACCCCAAGGTTTAGCCGTTGTGAGAGGGAACTTAACTTGTAGATTTTGCTATTATCGCTGTAGATCATACCTGGAGATCTTCTCAACCATTTCCCAGAAGGTTAGAAGCGGCGCTTCTCCTGTCTCTACCACCAACACATCGGAATCTTTATATACGAAAATCTAAAGGACTCGACTCGTAAAGCCAAAATAAGACTTGCCTTGATCGTCAGTAAATCTGCTCGAACTCGTTGCGATACCTCATTGCCGATCGCTTCGATTTGCATGAAGAAAACACCGTTTTCGTACGGGCTACAAATATCCGGAATACTCTACTGGACTCTTTCCCTACTCTAGTGATTGCGCCTCGAGCTTCAGCTCTCCAGTAGTCGGGTTCAGCACGAACGCCTCGTTGGCGTCCCGTTCCTTACCATCGAGCACAAATGTCGTTGACAACATGCGGTAGGTAGTGGATGTCGTGTTGTCTGACGATTTTTAGGGAGTGGGTAAGACGACGTGCTAGATACCTTCTGCTTTCCTCTCAATTTCCGGAGCGGCTACAGTAGTGATGATCAAGCCGGGCGGTGACTTTAAATGCAGCCCAAATACCAGCTCCTGCATGGGGAACCTTGGTCGACGACCGCCTCTAAACGGAGGATCAACGGTAGCTTAGAACCTACGTCGGCTCGACGGCAACGTGAACGATAGCCTTCCGACTCTCATTATCTTGGGCGGTGACGACGAAGCTATAAAGCTGTGCAATACGAAAGCAGCAACGTTAAGATTTTTACATCTCACTGTCCGCTTCATTTGTGCACTCCCTTGGGGAATGCGTTCCAAAATTTGTTCGAAACACTCTTTGAAGAGGTCTCGGGGTTAATGCTAACCTCAAACTTGGGTAATTAAACCGAAGCTGTGGATGGGTGGGGGCTCTTCTCACATATGGACACTCCAGGTCGGTGTGTCTACCCGTGCAGCCCCACAGCGAGCGATCTCTCGTTGTCTGCGTCTCTCTGGGACTTCCCGACCACTCCCCCAGCGGAGAGACTGTGGATAGGAAAGGGGGAATGTCGGGGTGGTGAGTGTACGAAACACACCGAGACGCAGGCAACGAGAGTTCGCTCGCTGTGGGGTTGCCCGTGTAGACACACCGACCTGGAATGTCCATATGTGAGAAGAGCCCCCACCCATCCACAGCTTCGGTTTAATTACCCAAGTTTGAGGTTAGCATTAACCCCGAGACCTCTTCAAAGAGTGTGTCGAACAAATTTTGGAACGCATTCCCCCACAGGGAGTGCACAAAGACAGTTCGATTCAAACGCAAGTGGCTGCTATTGTTAGTTCGATGACCCTCACGACACTTACGTATGTGCTGCTTGCTTATCGGCATCCAACGCAGATTTGACCATAATTTCACCGCTCAACTCATCCAGGGCAATAGGCGATTCTAAATGGGACCGTTTTAGCAAGAACTGGCGCAGCACAAACCCTTCGTTGAGTTTGAAGAGAAGTAGACTCGCTTTGGTTTTCCGCCGTTGACAGCATAAAGCTTGCCAAGGATTTCGCCTTTCTCGGCGTTTTCGGGGACCTAAAAAGGTGGTGTCTTATGGGTTTGATCGGACTGGGTGTACCATCCAAATTTTAGTAAATTCTAAAACATCCAACCTGCAGAGCGAATTCCTCCACAGCAAATTCGAAATCATCGTTGCTCTCCTCAGAAATCAACAGATCGACTCCCATCTCTTTGGTCAGCTTCCCGGATGTGGCGACAACAACCTATAGTTTCCCAGAAGATGACACGAAAATAACACCTACCACTGGCACCCGACGCGGCAAATCCTCGAGTTTGACTCGCGAAACAGATAGGGTCCCATTCGATTCGTCAAACTAAATAATTCTTCAAAGCTGGGAAGCTAGATCAACCTCGAGTTCGAGCTGCTTCAACATGTCGGCCCGATTTTTCAGGCTGTAGCTGATTTGGCAATCGTCAGCTGGTGTATTGTCAGAGAGTACGATTTGCGACGGCCCCTAGATTTTTTCCTTTTAAGGGGATTGATAGCTATTCTCCATGATTAAACCAGCGGTTTTCAAGAGTGCATACCTTCCCGACGAGATTCCGCAACCGCGCGACATCACCAAAACGCGGCAAACACTTTGGCGTTTCGGCATGCTTGATTTTTATGGGCTGCTCAACGCGGTGCTTTCCGTCGCTCACAACCACCTTCACCGGCCCCTCAGCTATGTTTCCTAAAGGTCACTCGTTTTCAATGCTTCGAAACATACCGCTGATGGCCTTCGTAAGCTTCAACCGCCCGTCATTGCCAATCTCCATGGAGTTATAGCATGCCGTGCAATTCAAACTGTAGGTCAGCTTATCAGTGTCGACATCGGATGCCTAAATTGCGTTAGTTTAATGGAGGAGGATTTTTGAAGTGATTTCGAACCGACGGTACCGCAACAACAAAATGACCACTGAATTCAAAATATCCTTCTTTGTGCACTCCCTGTGTGGGGAATGCGTTCCAAAATTTGTTCGAAACACTCTTTGAAGAGGTCTCGGGGTTAATGCTAACCTCAAACTTGGGTAATTAAACCGAAGCTGTGGATGGGTGGGGGCTCTTCTCACTAATGGACACTCCAGGTCGATGTGTCTACACGGGCAAACACACAGGGAGCGATCTCTCGGTGTCTGCGTTCCGGAGTGTCTCATACACTCATCACCCCGACATTCCCCTCTTTCCTCTCCACGGTCTCTCCCCCAGTGTAGGGTCGGGACTCCCCAGAGAGACGCAGACAACGAGAGATTGCTGCCTGTGTGGTTGCCCGGATAGACACAGCGACCTGGAGTGTCCATATGTGAGAAGAGCCCCCACCCATCCACAGCTTCGGTTTAATTACCCAAGTTTGAGGTTAGCATTAACCCCGAGACCTCTTCAAAGAGTGTTTCGAACAAATTTTGGAACGCATTCCCCGAAAGGGAGTGCACAAAGTGATCATAGTTTTAATGCAGTGGTCACGCTTGTTAGCGCTGTACCTTTAATTTGCTTTTTGTTTGTTCTTTTTGCTTTTCTTGTTGATTGCTTTCTTACCTTGACTTTAGCAATAACACTGCCGGAGGGCATATCGTCATATACGATAGCCTCCATCGCGTTTTCAACAAATACTGGTGGCTGCTCGTTCACATCTTCAACATTGACAACGAGCTAGAAAATAATAATAGCACATTTTTTAAGGCAGAAGGCAACGTACCACCCGACTGCTGACAGTCCCATCTTCCCAAGTTGTTCTCAAGAAGCCACCCAGACGAGCCAATTCCTCTCGATCGATATCGCGAAGGGTTACGATTTCGCCCTGATTCTCCTTGGATTGTCTCTTAACTGATTTCCAAAACCCCTTTCTTTTTTTTTTTTTTTTTTTTTTTTTTTTTTTTTTTTTTTTTTTTTTTTTTTTTTTTTTTTTTTTTTTTTTTTTTTTTTTTTCCCCCCCCAGCCGTTTCACCTTTGAATTCAGCTCCAGCCGGTCGGTATATTTCCCTAGCAGTTCGTGTTGAAGGGTGGCGTTCGTATTTTTTCTCTGAAAACAAACTTGCGACGCTGACCCGTCTCAAACCATAGCCAGCGACGCCACCCTTGTTCCTGGTCCACTGTGCTCCAATATGGTGGCATGAAGCACCGAGTCATCATTGTCACGCGATAGGAGCCGGCTTTCTGGCATTCTGAGGAGGAATTCTTTGTGAAGTACCACGAAAACTCACCTAACGGGCAATTTGACGTTGACACGACACTGTTGCCCAGCTCCATGAATCACCACCGGCAAGTCGAGCTGGCCGTCCGGGAACGGCTGCCCGTCCGTCCAGACCTCGCCTAAGCGGAAAAAAAACGAATTTTTGAAGCCTGAGCACACCAAAAAAGCCAAAAAACGGCAATAAGCCTGGACACCCGGGATTCCCAAGCCGTCTCCGATCCAAGTACTAACCGAGCCCAACGTTGCTTAACTTGGCAGATCGGACGGGATGCCGTGCTTTCAACGTGGTATGGTCGTAGGCGTAGGCAGGACCAAGGAAAGACGTTTTGAAACGCCAAGGCCATCAAAGGCGGCGAGTTGCCACTCATCAAGAGCCCTACTCTCCCCGCTATCGCCTACGACCATACCACGTTGAAAGCACGACATCCCGTCCGATCTGCCAAGTTAAGCAACGTTGGGCTCGGTTAGTACTTGGATCGGAGACGGCTTGGGAGTCCCGAGTGTCGTAGGCTTTTTGCTGTCTTGGATTATATGGTTTTGGTTTTTGGGCTTGCAGCACCCACCGGTCGTCCAGTTTATCCGTAGTCCTGGCATCAGGTCGACAGCATAGCTGCATTTTACAGCGCCACTGCACCCGTGCGTCGAGACTGTATACAGATATCCCGGTCCCGAGGCGACGATCTCGTCTGGCAACTGAAATTTTGGGGGTGTGATTGATCAACTTTTTTTGGGTGGCTCTTACCGGATTCAAGGCGCAGAAATCCCGAACCTGACGTTGGCCCGCATCGAATGGGAGCAGGGTGAGGTTTGCTGACATTGAAGAGATGTATCAAAACTTGGCTAGGACCTACCTTCGGCCTTCACTTCAAGTGGGTGCGTCTTGTCGGCGACCAAGACTCGGAGCTTGAGAATTGCCGGTCGACCTTCTGGCTCCAGTTTCCCCTTCATTTTCACAGAATACCGCCCATCTGGCCCTGGCGTCACGGAGAAGGCGTTGCTCTCGAACAGCACTATATTTTCATGGATTTTTTATTATGTTTTAGGTCCTACCAGTTTCTCCCTGCTCTGTAACCCCCTCGACAGCCAGCGTGACTTCCAGGTCAGCATCAAGATCGTCTTCACGAATCCGCAGTGACGCGATTTCACGCTCTTCTTCCAGCCCTGAATTAAGAGTTCGACTTCCGGATTTAAAACCCTACAACTCGGAACACTGATGACGGCACGCTCCGGGTCTACGGTAGGTGGGGACGAGCCGAAGCCGGCCACCTCGACGGCGACGATTTCCTCGCTGACAAGGCGGTTTGAGGTCAAGCAGGATACCTGAAAAATCGCACGATACTACCTTGTCGGCTCAAAGGCTCGATTTAAGATGCCTTTAAAAACTACAAAATTCAGCAAATGAAGCCGAAACTCAGAATCAAGTTTCAAAAACGTTTTTCGAGACCCAACCTTGAAGGTATAGACTTTATCCTCTTTCTGGAGTGGTCCAACATACGAAAGTTGTCCGTCAGAATTGATCGAAAACCTGAAAGAATAAGCTTTTCTCACATTAACTGCTTTTATACCTTTCCGAATCTCCCTCATGCAGGCTACGTTCGCAAGCAGCTGAATCGGAAAGTTCTCCAACAATTCGCTGACCAGCCGCAAGTTTGAAGGCGTGACTGGTGGGCTAAAAGTAACTTTTTACAGTTTGCTCTGCCTAGGTGTTTTATTTCCAATTCCCTTTATAATTATACTGTTTTATATTACCTCCTCCTTGGCTACGGCTTCCGTTGGCTTTGGGCGGATCTTGACTCGGATCCTCGTCATGGCTTCCGCTTCGCCGGCATGGGCCCTGGCGGTCACCTCGAACTGCTCGCCCAGGAATTCGCGGGACACGAATTCGGGGTGCTAAATAAATGAAAAGCTTCAGAAAAAAATGTCGTTTCTACCTGAACACGGACGATTCCGGAAACTGGGTCGATGCTGAGAACGCCGCTCTGGTCGTCGAGAGAGAAGGATAGCTTTAAAGGGGTGTGAAGGCAGATCACATATATTTTATTTCAAACTCGCTGATTACACTAATTACATTACAATTACACCTTATCTGATGGCGCGTAAAGCGTGGTACCTTGCAGTGTTTGAGCTACGAATCGTGCCTCCGGACACTTATTTATTTGCGTGCTTTTGCGCAGCGATCTATCCGCAAGGGTTCACTGTCCCTTTAAAGTTTAATTTCCTCTACCTGTTGCTCTCCAGCGTTTTTGGCCCGCAATTTGAGCATCTTCTCCGTCGATTTTGCCCCCTCCACAATCACCGTCTTATAATCCTTCTCAACAAACCGGAAGACTTCGGCCTAAAAGAAATTTTTGAAGTTTTCAGGCTTGGGCTCGGACTTAGGTTTCAAAAAGTCCTTCTAAATTTACACTTACCTTTGTTACGCGTGCCAAAACCACAGCCGACATCGTGTGCCCATTATCGGGATACCGGGCCATCAATCCGAGGGTCATCTTGGGGGGAAGCTCGCAATTCTCACAGCCCAGCCAACTGGCGGTAATTGTTTCTTCTGCAAAAATTAGTTTGTAAAAGTATGTATAATTCCTGATTTTAGTAAGATTTTAAAGTAGAAAGCTAAAATAATATTTTGCTCACCATCCTGTCGAATCTCAAACAACTTCACGTGCGCCTCGCTTCCGAACACTTGAACTTTCGGCTTTTCGGCCCTCGGGTTGAGAATCTGGATTTCATAAAGTTAATATATCTTATTGATCCATATTTTATATACACCCATCTTTAACTTAATTTCATGAATCATTCTCTTGCTCACCTTTAGCATAACCTTATTTTCTTGACCATCTGCGATCGTGAGCTCGACCAATTTATTTTCAAAGCTTGGCGCGGCCGCCTACAAAGAACGTCGATTTTTTTGGGGTTTTGGTTACTTTTTCAGCAGAGCTGGCAGCTGCCGTGGTGGCCACAGCTTCAATTGGAACCAAGCTCAGATTCAACCGAATCCGCTGCTCGTCACCACTGATCAAACCCAAGGCGATGATCTGAAAATACAACCGTTAGAAACTACAAATCTAACTGCAGTTGTATTAGGTATACTGCCATCAAAATGCCTTAAAATTCTCTTTACCTCGGTCGTCACGTTTTTCGCTTCGGTCACAGGCCTTTGGAGCACGAGCTTTAGAGGCTGTTTCGCGGACAATATCGCTGGCGAGATGATAAAATCGCCAATTGGCGGGTCCAGGGATAGTCCAACTTCTTCGTCGACCTAGAATTACAAGCCTCTTCGCTTCTTAGCTTTGGCTAGGAGCTTTTCTTCCAAATCAACGTCGAGAAATTAGGAAGCTTCAGTCCTCTCACTTCCAGCTCTCTTTGCTCTAACTTACCTCTGCAGCCACATTAATTGGTAGCGTAGTTTCCGCCCTGTCAATCCGCATTGTTGATGTGCTATTAGAGGCGACGAGAAGATCTATGAAACACAAAACACTATTTTAAAAACTTTAAAATGCACTTCGAGAGTAAGCACCAACTTACTTTTTGCCCAGATCACCCCAACAAAACAAAATAATAATAGTAAAGTCCGCATTTCAATTCGAGCAAAAGCAGCCGGAACGTCTCAGGTGTTCTTCCTCGCGTAAAAGCCCGCAATTAGCGAAAGCGGGGAAAGCCGCCAAATGGGCGAACTGGGTCAGCGGGGCGCACGGTCGAAGGGGGCTGCATGCTTGATCAACCGATATCCCCCTAAAAAAGCGCTGCGTTCTTTTCCGGCTTCCAGCTAGGGACTTTAACTGATCATTCCAAACCTCCTCGAAAAAGGGCCATAAATGTCAAGGCATTTATCGGGTCCAACAATCAAATCAACCACGTGTCGAAATCACAACAACAACAAAAAACGCTATCTAAATGAGGCTTCTGGTTTTCCGCGCTTCGCCTTCTTCTCGGCTGGGCTGGCTGTACTTGTTGTCGGTCGTTTCGCCGCTCCCTTTTGGCGTCGGTCGACCTGGAAAAGTCAGATTCTATGATTTAGGCCGGCCAAAACGCACCTGCTTCTGTAACTGCTCCACACGTTTTGCGCCTCGCGCCGATCGGTTCTTTCGTATCTCTTCAATCACCTCATCGGCCTAAAATCCTAGTAAGCAAAAAATAATATGCATACCTCATCAGGATTCATCCCTCCCATCACCAGCTCTTTTCGCTTCTGAATCAGTCGTTTCTCGCCGAATTTCTGCTCGTCCAGCGTCAACTCGGCTTCGCGTTTTGAGACGAGCACTTGCGTCACATATCGCGCCACCATTTTGTCTTTCACCTAAAAAGCGGTTGTTATTAAACCCAGAAATCAACCTTTTGCTCTTCCATCTTCTTCCCAATCCGGTCCTCAATTTCCCTCAGTAGGGCAACGTCGTATTGCGTGACGAACGTCAGCGCTGATCCGTATCTTCCGGCACGCGCCGATCGCCCGACGCGATGGACGTACGTTTTCGGCGCATCGGGAACGTTATGGTTAACGACAAGGTCAATCTGCAACATAAATCGGTAAAATGAAAATTCCAGCGATTCTTACATGTGGGATATCAAGGCCACGGGCAGCCACATCCGTGCAAATCAACACTCGGAGGACCTTGGCCCGGAAGCGTGACAAAGCCGAAGATCGGTCCTTTTGCGAGACCTGTGAATGCAGGGAGCCGACCTAAAAAAATAAAAATGAAGTTGCATAATTTTTAACTGCAATACGGCCTCTGAATAAATGTGTATCTCTAGAAGCCTAACCTGAAATCCGAGCTTCGTGAACATCATCGCGAGCGCTTGACACTCTCGACACGTCAGCGCGAACACGATGACGGAGGACTGCTTGTTACGCTCGCAATAGTTTTTCACAACGTAGACCTGAAAAAAGCGTGAATTTTCACAAAACAATTCAAAACAAATCTTCTCAGGCTTCAAAAAATTTTACCAAGTAAGCATCCTTGACGTTGGCAGGACAGAGAACGTATTTTTGCTCCAATCGGCTCACGGTAACCTCCTGCCCCGCCGATTTGTCTTCGAAGAAATACGGCTTACGAACGGAAACCTAAAAATATTTTAATAAAGTAAGTATGTATAAAAATTAGATACCTGATGCAATTTGTTGATGGCCGATGTAATGGTGGCGCTAAAGAGCAGGGTTTGGCGCTTGGCGGGCAGCGCTTTGAAGATGATTTTGAGCTAAAAACCGGGTGAGAATTTGAAGTTGATTTACCTGATCGGTGTATTGACCATCAAGCATTCGATCGGCCTCGTCGAGCACAAAGTATTTCAACTTCTTGAATAGCTGCCCTGAAGGTTGAAATGCTAAACAAAACAACAAGATAATTCTACCAATCGATTCGTGGTGCGTCTCGATGTAGTCGGCCAATTTTCCGGGTGTCGCGACGACAACGTGCGGCTTTCTGGAGAGTTCCCCGGCTTGTTTAATCTGAATAAAAACCAGTTACTCGTGAATTCTAAAGAAAAACCACCTGTTCGATGCCACCAATAACTGCCATACATTTCAGGCCGATCGCCTTGCCAACGGCCGTAAATTGCTCCTGAAAATAAAGTTAATTAAATCTTTAGCCATGAAAGCTACCTGAATCTGAATAGCCAATTCCCTGGTTGGCGTCATGACGAGGGCATAGATGCCGTAAGGATCGAAGGCCAACTAGAAAAAAATCTTCAAATGCGTTAAAAGTTTTTGTACCTGGTTCAAGATTGGCAATGCAAAAGCAAGCGTCTTTCCAGTGCCGGTTTTTGCACAGCCCAACACGTCGCAACCCTCTAGCACCTTTGGAATGCAGCATGCCTAAAGAAAAAATGTTGAGAACTCCGGCGATTTCCGGCAACCACCTGAACAGGAGTCGGTTTTTTCAATTGCAATTCTTTCAACTGCCCGAGCACCCATTTAGAAAGACCCATCTGGTCCCATGTTGTGGTAACCTCTGGCACGGTGATAGGGACCGGGGCGTCTTGGTTGAGTTCTAAAACGAAAATAAAATCGAACGGGCTGAGACAAGCCTAATTCATCCCCTTCCTCGTCGCTGCCCTCTTCAGATTCTTCTTCGTCCTCATCAGCCTCCTCATCCTCCACGTCAGAGGTTCCGGCTTTGTTAGGCTCTGGCTCCTGCAAAACCGCTACTCCCGAGAAACCAGCTCAACGATTGTTCATTTCCCTTTTTTTTGCGAAAGCACTTTCTAGCGTTTATTTAAAAGGGCGGCTTTTCGTACCTCCTCAGACACATTATCATCTTCAGAATCGCTGAGCAGCTCGTCAATAACGGCCGACATCTAACGTATCATTCGATTAGAATCCGTCAATCGCAAACATCCAAAAAATATGCATGGGCATCACAACTGCTGGCCCTTTATATGTAACTTCCAAAACGCTGAGGCCAAAACAGTAAAAAAAATTTATCGGCAGGCAAGACAAAAAAACGGATAAAGCATAGAAAAAGTATCAAATTACGCGAAACAGCAGCAGGGTTGAGCACGTCACTTCTTGACTTGAGATAGTTGCGCTTCCAGCATTTTTTGCTGAAAAAAAGATGATCAAAGACCCTGAATCGAAACTTACCTTCATCCCTTCCGCTTCTTTTTGCGAGAGCACCCGAATGTTGTGCTTCTCTCGGTAGGTGTTCAACTCGGTGCCTTTATCGACCAGTCGCTTGTTGAGCTGCTCGCCGATTAGGTTTAACTAAAAAAAGAATGATCAAAAAAAATCCCAGAAATACCTTTTCAAGCTTCTCCTTGAGTTGCGGGAGCGCTGTGCCAACGGTGAGCTCGACCATTGTGTCGCTGATTACTTGAAAACACTTCTGCTCAGGGTCACAATCTTCTGACAGCAACTCAATGACACGGCTAAAAGTTTCAGCGTAAAACGGAAACGGAAGAGTTAGTTACCTGTGCTCGCGCTTCTCCTCCTCTATCCGCGTAATTTCCTCTGCAGTCTCTTTTTGTTCTTCCCTCAATCGCTGGAACTCTGCAACGATTTTCCGTTGGTCATCATCGGCGGCGGCGGCCATCTAAAGCAATTTATTGGATACAGATAGAAAAAGAGAAGGATAATGAAAAACCAAGAAAACATAAAACTCTATACTAGTGAAGTACAAAAACGAAATACCCATAAGATGAATCCAAAGTCAAAGAAATCTGAATTCGGAGAGCGGAGCATGAGAGACCGAAACGTTTACATCGAGAAATTCTCTGAACGAGACGATCGTGTATCCGAAAGCCGTCGCTTTTCTTCCAACCGCTTTTGTGCTGCCTTTTCCTGCCGCTTCAAAATAACCTCACGGTCCTCGTCGGTCTCGTCGCGCTTCAGCAGCTCTCGCTCCACATCATAGATAGTCGCACGCAGTTTATCAAAGCAATCTGCCACGTTCATTGTCCTTTCACGCGTTCGGTCACTGTCCACCACGACTTCCCCGCCGGCGTTTATTCGATTCGCCAATCTCAAGGCCAACGGCTCCTTCAGATGACTCGGGATCCAGTCAGCATCAGCGATCCGAAACCGGATCTCGCATTTCGTGAGGCTCTTCTGCATGTGCTGTCCGCCAGGCCCGGAACTCCGCGAGAAACGCTTCTCGATTCGGTCGACGGGGATCACGCCGGTGAAGCGGTCGACGGATGCGGCGGCCGGCTTCGCTTGTGATAAGGCTGGCGCGCGGCAAATGTGACGAAGTTGAAGAAGTCGGGACATCTGAATTGAAGAGTGTTTTTGGAAAAATTAATTTCTGGAAACCGAGGAAATTAGAGGTTGTAATCGGACTTAGACATGGGCGCGCAAAGTTGCCTCGTGAGTAGTATTGCTGCGGATATGGGGTCGGCGGGGGTTCAAAAGTTACAGAAGAAATGAAAATTGAAGAGAAAAGCAAAAGAAAACTAAATGACGTCTAATGGAAAAGTGCAACGGTTGAAAAGAAGGCTTGGAAAACCTTGAGTTTGTCAATTTACACGATTTCCGGTTATTCCGGTTATCTCAGGGTCCCGTCACGGTCACGTCAAGAAGTTGCCATTCGGAACCTGGAAATTGTTAGATTTTGTTGTTTTTCAGGTTCAAAGTTTTCGGGATTTTTATGCTCCCGCGGTCGTTCCGAATTGATCTTCTCTTGTTTCCATACGTTGCGGCTTCCACGACCATTTACATTTCAGTGACATCAAAACAGCTACGCATGCCGCCCTCGACTATGTCCCTCGAAGCGGGGCAAAGTGGCGATGATGAGGCTGTAATTTGTACATCTAAAGCAATATCCGATTCTTAGGAGACCAACCAATCTACCGAGGCCAACGGCGCCTCCGCCAGCAAGGAGTGGCAGCAGCTGGCCCCGTTGCATGAGGCTGGCATTAGCCCCACGCTTTCCGACATGTCGCGCAGGCAATTTGTAAGGATCCATAGTTTCTAATTTATCTGTTCTGAGGTACTTGAGCGCTGGCGAAACGCCGCCCTCCGCGCCGTCCGCCGTGCTGTCGACCCGTGGCGCAAATACAACATCCATAACATGCCACTGCTGCGTGCCCGTCGATTTCGATACTCGGCTACTAGGAAGACATGGGTTGAAGACTTTGTCGAGGTAAAAATAACATCTTTCGGTATTATCGTTTTTTCAGATAAAGATGTGCATGGAACCGTTCGCCCGTGGGGCCATGCGCGAATGCTTCCGCGTCAAAAAACTCTCCAGCATGGGTTTTTCGCAAGATTGGGAGCACGCGCACAACTACGTCGCCAAACGCTACATACAGGAAGTGGATAAGCAGGTGCATTTCCTCGCTAAAGGTTTAATGTTGCTTGAAGGTCATTTTCGACGACGTGAAGCTGCAACTCGACTGCAAGCTCTGGGCCGAGGAGTTCAATCGGAATCGCCCGCCCAAGAAAATCGACATTGTGCAGATGAACGTTATTCAGGTTTTTATATTTTCTATCGTTAGCTTTGTTGCTAGATCCTCGACCTTCCCGACGAGCCCTACTATCACCTGGAACATTTCATCGAGGGGGAATACGTGAAGTACAACTCGAATTCTGGCTTCGTCTGCGAGATGCAGCGGCAGACGCCGCACGCCTTCTCCCACTTTACTTTTGAGAGATCGGGGCACCAGCTGATTGTCGTCGATATTCAGGTTGTTTTTAGACTCGCTTTTAGTTTGGCTTTCAGGGAGTCGGCGATCTCTACACGGACCCCCAAATTCACACTGTATCCGGAACAGATTACGGCGACGGAAATCTTGGCACAAAGGGAATGGCCCTGTTCTTTCACTCGCACCAATGCAACGCAATCTGCCGTATGCTCTGCTTGACAGAGTTCGACCTGGCCGTTTCGGAACGCGAGCGACTGAAGGAGGATTGCGCAAAACTTCTGCCTACACTGGTTAGGCTTTTCTATTTTCAATTAGTATTTTCAATTTTTAGGAGCCCACCCACTTTACAAAAAGCCGCAAGCGAAACGAGCAGTCCTGCAATCCTTTGGTAAGGACAGTTCGTTTTTGTACACTTTTCTTTAGCTCGATGACCTCGCTCCTGACGATGCGATGGAGTCACTGAGGCGTCGGAGCGAGTCGTTGCGCATCCGGTATCGCTCGATGATTGCTGCCGTGTCGCCTACATTTGATGCGAAATTGGTTCGGAAATTTCTCGGCATTTTATCCTTTGGTTTAGGAACATAACGCTGATTGCACCTGCGAGCACTGCATCCAGGAACTGTGCAGCGGAGTGAATCTTGAGGATGAAGACAGCTTCAGCGAAAGCACTAGCCGCCGAGGGTCATTGACCAGCCCTAGCGGTCGAAAGGTGGTTGCATACACTCTCGTAAAACTTTATTTTCAGTGGGGTCGCACCTCGCTGAGCATCGAATCTCCGGATTTTATGTTCCGTCGCCGCACTCCTGACAGCATGTGCTCAAGTGTTGGCGACAGCTCGAGGGTGACCGGCATCACCGAACGCGACGAATACTGGGCCAGTCAGCGCAAAAAGTCGATCCCGGCTGGCGTCATCACGGCCCTTGAGAGTCAGCCCCCTCAGGTAGTCCTTAGCGTAAATTATTTTTTTGCTGCTATATTTATTATTTTCTCCTAAAAACCTGTCATTTAGGAAATCGCCCACGCGCTCCGCCACATCTCGATCCTTGGCCAGGTTCACCTCGACTTGGCGCGCTACCACGAGGTCGGCCGTTTCTTGAAGGAGGAGGAAGCGAATTGCGAAAAACTACGAGTTTGTTGATCACCAAATTTTTGGAATTTTTTTAGGTTCTTCATGAGCTGACGTCGACAGGGAGCTCGATCTCTTCCAGCACGACCACCACCGGTGACAGTGATGTGAAATACGACCAAGAAGCGGCCCTATACCACTTGGACATCGCCAGGCGTTGTGGCAATCTGGAGGTATTGTTGGTGTGATTTTTGTCATGACGTTTTTTATAGGCGATCCTGACCGTCGCCAAGATGTGTTACCACCTACCGCACGAGCTGCTGAAGGAGATTGGCAATGACGTGTCGTGGTTTGCGGATACGGTATGCAAAAGTTTCACCTCCTTGATGAGTCGTTTAGGCAGAGGACTTTGATAAAGACGTGGAGGAGTTCTCGTTTGACATGATGCTGAGCGCGGCGGAGATGGGCGACCGGGGCGCCATCCTCTTTGTCGCCGAGGCCTACGAGACTGGAAACAATATGGGCAAACGGGGCGAGGTAAAGCATGCTTTTTTTCTGTACTAACATGTTTTTAGATTTCTTACACATCAGCCATCTTTTGGCTCGAGAAAAGCCTCGGGTTCGCCGATGATGAGGAGGGCACGGAACAGCATCGGCCGAGACACGAGCTTCTGGCAAACATGGCAAGACTCTACCAAGAGGGCGGTTACGGGCTGGACGGCGACCTGACCCGCGCCTACGAGCTCTACAACGAAGCCGCCGAGGCCGCCATGGAGAACATGAAGGGCAAGCTGGCCAACAAGTACTATGAATGTGCCGAAATGTGCGCCATTTGATTTCATCCTTGCTTTTAATTTGTACATATGCTTGATTTGTTTTACTTGCTTGTTGACATTTTTGCGCTTGGCACGGCGGGTCCAGTTAATTACGGGTTGTTTGTTTTAAAGCGGGTGTATATAGAATAAAAGTTATCTATTTACCGTGTTCAGGAAAAGCTGCGCATAATTCAATAGATCTTTATGAATTTTTGGCGAAGCATTGGAGCACACAAGTAGACAATGATGATGATGATACATGACATTGATGCGGTAGTTTGTAAATGGCAGAAAGAGCACTCGGTCAGGGGTGGGGAAAGAAAAGCGCGTTTGATTTTTTTAAAAAATAAGGCAATATCACAAGTTCGGGGACCGATACTGGAGAGTCCTTCATGCTACAGAGTGCCCAGTAAAATAAGGGTTTTTAGATTAGGAATACCGAATATCTCTAGAAGCTTTTCAAAGCGACGTCGTCTGTACTGGTGCCCAGATGAAATTTACACGCGCTTTTTAGGATCTACACTCGTAATTTTCTAAAACTTTAGAAGGTTTGGCGTCGAAAAATAGTGTTATAAGCGTGTACTTGATTTCTTAACCAATTTTATTAAAAACATCTGATAAATTAAAGACTTGTAAAAGTTTTTACCGGAAAGTAGGCTTTTTTAACCTTTTTTTACAAGCGTGTAAATTCATTCTGAGTAGCAGCCAACGCGCAAAAACGGTATCCCAAACCCAGTCTCTTTTACCCGAAAGTCTGTAGGCAAGTGAAGTGAAGGGGGAAACCCGAGGTATGAACGGCTTGGGGTCGGCGGCCGCTAAACTAAAACGGCCTCTTTGGCCCGCCTGGGAAGACGTAGAAAGACTGGGAGATTCTTTGCGTTGAGCCGTGTTTGGTTGGGTGGCCGATCGTTTTAGTGATCGGAGCTGCTGCTCGCGCTACTGCTACTCGCCGATTCTGCACGTTCGGTCATCTCTACGTCGCCTGAACGTCGTTTATACGTCCGAAGTTCGATGCTTTATGTTTTTAACAACTTTATGTTTACCTTTCCGATTCCGAAGCTCAGAATCGAAGCCCGTTTTCTCGCTGGCGTTTTGCTGCGCGAGCGGCGGCGGGGCGGGTAGACGATTTCCGCCGTCAGCCGGTGTTAACTAAAGTCCGGAATATTGAGATCAAAAGCCAAAAATTATACCTCCGGCTCCGGCCCAAACCACGTCAGCAACACGGGCAGCACGCACAACCCATTCCAGATACCCAACGTCACCAGCACCTAGGTAACGCAGTTATCATCGGAGGCCTTTAGGATCGCTTACCGACATGGTGACGAAGAAGTACTTGATGACAAAGTCGAATTGTGAGAAGATCAACATGACAATACCTAGAAATCAGGGTTGAAGGTTATTTGATTTTTTTACCTAGGAAAGTCGAGATGGCACCGTGGAAGACGGGAACGAACATGTGCTGCAGACAGGATTCCATCCTGAAATAATACGGGGGTTTTGTACGCTGACTTTTCAAGCAACCTGTCATTGACGGTACCCAACGACGTCAAGAAGCACAGCACGACGTGAGCGGTGAATTCGACGCCTAAAGCATGTTAATTAGGCGGGGGCTGTATAATTAACTTACCGATTCCCACAGCGCAAATCTGCGTCACCGCCGAAATGCCGTTCATCTTCACGCCGAACAGCCCCATGAAGCCGCCGAGTTGGATGGTGAGAATGACGACGATCATCATCACCTACAAGGGAATGCGTTTTTTTAAGCGTTTAGTTTTATTTGATTATTGAAAAGCTAATGAAGTTTTTAGGTACTTTTGATGGTTTAAACGGTTTAATTAATTACCATTAATGCGGCGCGCGGGTTGAACATGAGCGTCGAGATGACGACGAACACGGCGAAGGCGATGTAGCAAATTGCCAGGAACAAATTCCATCGAAGATCGAGGTATTGATCCCAGAAGGTGAAGGCGATTCCTGAAATAACGAGAATGGCTACGAATGAAAATTGAAAATTTTGCAAGGTACGTCTGGAAAGATAGAAATTATTATTTTTGCACTACAAACTATAATTTTTGTAGGTACGTTTCGGTTTTTTTGTTTTTTATATTTTTCTCTAGTTTCCTTACCTGACGGGAAGGCGCCCAGTCCATTTTCGGTGTAGTTCAAGCAGACGGCGCGGACCTCCTATAAAAGTATCGACAATTTTCTAAAGTTTTTTAGGCCCAACCTTGATCATCTCCACGATCACCGGCGTATCGGTCAGGCCAGTCTGATAGAAGGGGATCTGGCTGTGGAGAAGCGGACGCGCTGCCGGGACGGGCTCGGGACGCTGTAGGAAAATATTATTTGAGCCAGCGCCATCGGGTGAAATAAGTAAATAGGTAAAACTGGGAAAACGCCGTTTTAAGATACAAAATACATAAATCAATGTTTTAAAACGGTAAAGAATTGCTCCACACTGTAAAGGTAGGCGAACACGACGAAACCTACATCATTCATTGACCATTTCGGCGGACTGGGCGCAAATGAAGCCTGCGAGACGTAGTACATCATGTTGTCGACGTGGAACCAGGCGGTCAAGTAGTTGTAGAAGCCATCTGGCTGGATGATGCCGTTGTTCACCAGCTTCCTCGTGCCCAACTGAAACGGACAGCGTTTTTCAACGTGTATATTTTACGAAATCACAAAACAAAATTTCGAATTTTCCGAATCCCGGAATTTCAATAGGCGGAGCCCACTTTAAGGGCATTTCCTGCGTTTTATTAACCTTTTAGAGGCGGACTAGCAGAGACTCTTCTGGAAATACCCACCCTTCCAGTACAGTTGTATTCCGCCCCGAAGGAGCAGACCAACTTCTTGGCAATTGCGCTCTCGGGGCTCGGCTTCCGGCCCTTGGCCACGGCGCCGGTTTTGAGATCTGTAAAACAGCCATACTTTTTTATATATAAATAATACAATTATTGAACCTAATGCAATATATTCCATAAAATAACGTGAAACTTACCACTAAATACCCCATCGGCAATATCCTTGGCCAACGCCACGTCAAGCGACTCGAGCCAGGTTCGCATCAGCCCCATCCAATACGGTTGCGCGTTCTTGCCGTCTTTTAGCACCATGAATGCGGTCTCGCCTGTAAAAAAAGAGGATATCGACATCGCCAGGGAGGTGCAAAAATTGTATAATTTAAAAAACAGTCCCTAAAAACTGCAAAAAGCCTACGACACTCGGGATTCCCAAGCCGTCTCCGATCCAAGTACTAACCGAGCCCAACGTTGCTTAACTTGGCAGATCGGACGGGATGCCGTGCTTTCAACGTGGTATGGTCGTAGGCGAGGAAGAGGGCGGTTGGGGCTGCTCATGAGGCATAACTTCTTCTTTGGGCGGTCCCGAGGGTTTCAAAAGCTCCCTCCGCGTCCGACCTCTCGCCTACGACCATACCACGTTGAAAGCACGGCATCCCGTCCGATCTGCCAAGTTAAGCAACGTCGGGCTCGGTTAGTACTTGGATCGGAGACGGCTTGGGAATCCCGAGTGTCGTAGGCTTTTTGCCGTTTTTTAAGGTACACCTTCAAGTTTTTTTGCTTTGCGTGACTTACCCAATCTCCTCCTGAACTCCTCGATCTGCTCCTGCTGATTCGGAATATCAACATTCCCTCCCTTCAGCACGGCAAACATCGGGTAGAAGGAAAAGTATTTTTCGCGGGCCCTCATGAAGGCGGCGGGGGCCGTGTGTTCGGGCAGGACATCGGACAGCTCGAGACCGAGGGTGGAGTTGTACATTCCGACGAGCCCGAACACCGTCATGGCGATGGTGAGCCCGGTGACGATGCACTTAAGTTTTTTTGATAGTTTTTAGGGTGTATAGACGAACTTTGACCCAAGTCTTCTTCAGCCCGGGGATGTAGACGTTGGTCAAAAATCCACCCACAGTATACCAGGGTTGCCGGCGTTCCCACTAAAATGGAAGTTTAAGCATGGTATTCGAGCCTTTTTGTTGATACTTAAACACCTATATTATTAATAATAATAATAATAACCTATCTTATTCGGCTGTTCTTTCCTTTTTCTTTTTTCTGCCTTTTATGATGAATTTAATGTAAGGTATAACACAATTTTTTGAAGATACTTACATGCTCAACGTTAGACAGCGTAGCATCACTTTGCATGGCTTTAAGATGGACCTTGGAGCCCTCGACCTGAAAAAATTAGGATGTTACGGTAAATTGGTCAACTGTCTCTCGCTGTCTCTATCTCTCTCCCTCCCTCTCTCTCTCTCTCTCTCTCTCTCTCTCTCTCTCACCCACCTCAGCTTGCCGATTCTCCTTATCCAGGGCCGCGATAGCCGCCGGATCTTCGGTAGGCGGGAAGCAATATCCGAGATCACGTTTGCCCTAAAAATATTGCTTGTTGCTTGTTTGTACCCTAGAAACTAAGATTTCCCGTTAAAATTAGCTGTCACCTTCCCTTTAACCCCCCGTTACCTTTCTCAGGCGCTTCAAATCCAGCGAAATGAAGGCCGGGAAGATGATGACCAACGAGAGCAGGTTGAATACGAGCAGAATGGCTGTCTGAAATTTTGCGTTACGTTACGGTACACTGCGCACCTGTAGACAGAAAGAGCGTAGAGCCGGAACGGGGAGTACGGTACCGGCGAAGAAGGCCAAGATGTTGTTGAGGGAGGTGACCATCACAGACAAGCCGGTTTCTTTCAGGAGTACACCCATTTCGTCTCTGAAACATCGAGAGTGACGTTTTTCAAAGGATCTTTGCTAGATTGCCTTCTCGCTCGCGCTCTCTCTCTCTCTCTCTCTCTCTCTCTCTCTCTCTCTCTCTCTCTCTCTCTCTCTCTCTCTCTCTCTCTTTTGCCCTCTCTAAAAATCACTCACTTTCTGACGGTATTGATGATTTCATCGTAATTATGAAGCAGCAAAAACATGTCGTCAATTCCCAGCCCGAGCGACAGGAAGGGGACGATCTAAACACGGTTTTAAAGGGACTAGGAAGCAAAAAAATCCCGTTTTATTTGATGACCATATTCTACCGTACCTGCGTGGTGGCCGCGTTGAAGTTGATGCCCAGCCAGGTGGTGACGCCCAAGCCGCAGATTGACGAATAGGTCACCAGCATTGTGCCTGAAAATGAAATAAGCTAAAAACTGGGTTACGGTACCGATAAACGACAGCAAGACGTTCGACTGGACGGCCAGCCACCAGCCCTTGATACGGCATTGCGTCCACGCGGCGTAGCAGATCTGGAAAATTGGACGGAACTTAAGCCTGAGCCCGAGCCCGAGCCTAAGCCCAAACCTAGGCCTAAACCGAAGCTAAGCCTAAGCTAGGCCTAACCGAAGCTAAGCCTAAGCTAAGCCTAAGCTAAGCCTAAGCTAAGCCTAAACCTAAGTCCAAACTCCTAAGCCCAAGCTCAGGTCTAAGCCGAAGTCTAAGCCTAAGCCTAAACCGAAACCTATGCATAAGCACCATCGTTAACTAACCATCAAAAAGTAGCCAATAATAATGATGATGTAGTTGAACTGCGAGAACTCCTCCAACATGTCGGCGATCGACGTCGAGGCGAGCGGGTGGAACACGCGGTTCTTCGGGTCCTGCAACGAAATGGAAAAATTTTTTCTAGATAAAGAAATCAGCGCCATTTTCCCAAATTTAGGCGCACAGGCCTTGGCGCAGTCGGTAACGGGCTGGGGGATTAGTCTAAGGGCCGAAGGTTCGATTCCTGTCGGCGCAAATTTTTTTGCTTTTTGATTTTTGCTACAAACTTTGACTTACCTTAACATTTTCGGGATGCGTGTACAGCCTTTTGGTAAAGTGACGCTGCCAGGATGTGATGACATCATTCGCTTTTCCAGGGGTCCACCTCGCCAAGCCCGGCTTGGATTCCTTCGGGTCCTGCAGCGAATTATTGATTTTTAACCGGATGCACTGGTGTAGCATACCTTATACCGTAGATACACATCAAACGGACTGGCAACGAGAAAGACGCTCTGCAGGGCCTCCGCCGACTTCAAGCTGTAATGGGTACGGTAGAAGGGCGCAAAATAGAGGATCCTACTTGACTCCATCGGCTCCTCGCTTCAACCCGCCGACGATCAGGTCTTCTGGCCATTCCATGATGTTTTTGCCGAACCCCTTGCATCCGCCGGTCATCACCTGAAACCAGACATTAACAGTCAATTCCAAATTTTTTAACGCTGATTTTAACGTTTTTAAAGGGCCGTTAAAGCGGCTCTGGCAGCACACCGATTACGGCATTTTGGGACGCAGAGTTCTGTCTGCGTCTCTCCTCTGGGTGCGCTCTTTCTCTCCCTGCCGCGACGATAGACACTCTGAAAAATGCCAACCTTTCCAAATTCCGGCTCCTTCGGCTGCATGGCTTCCGGCAAAAACTCGGCCCATTTCTCCTTGTTGTCGGCCATCCACAGGACGAAAGATCGACCGTGCTGGATGCAGTCAAGCTCGTCGGCCGTTTGCATCTTCTTGGCAGGGGTGGCTGAAATGATTTCCATTCATTTCGCATAATTATCATTTCGCATACCGCCATTTCGCATAATTGCATTTCGCATAATTTTTATTCCGCATAACGGTGATTTCGCATAACGCTTATTTCGTATAACGCTTATTTCGCATAACGGTGATTTCGCCTAACCGTGATTTCGCATAACGATCATTTCGCATAATTTTCATTTCAGCTAACGACCATTTCGCATAATTTTGATTTCGCCTAACCGCCATTTCGCATAATTTTCGCCATTGACAGCCGATGGTCTACAGGGTGCGTCAAAAAAAAGAACCAAGTTTGCACCAAAATATCTCGCTTATCTTTGAGAATCGAAGGTACGTTGCCATGCCAGAATGCTTAAATATGCTGGGCATGAAGATTTAACACAACTTGATTTTTTCGATTTTTGGCGACGTACCCATACAAATGACACCCGAAAACTGTGCGTTCCGGCAAAACTTCGTTTACATTTTTTTGGATTGCTGGTGGTCGAACACTTCCAATTTTTACAGTGTAGGTACCTAAGGACTGCCCCTACGCACATCCGGAATTTTGGAATTTTTGAAGGTCAGGTTGGCAATTTAATGCGTGCTCAAATTTAATATGGAGAAATTTCGTAAATTTCGAATATTACAAAAACCTATGGTGGAAACCTCAAAATAAGCTGTTTTAGCATGTCTCTAGGCTCGATACAATCCCACAAAACTATCAAAAAAAATTTTCAGATCCGCGGATTTTTGAGTTTTTTGACGACCCCCCGGTCATGAGTTTTTTTGGGGTGACGAAACTGGACTTTGGAAAAATATTTCTAAAATGGCAGATAGTATTTCAGTGTTTGCTTTCCTTAGTTGCGTAGGACGGTGGTCCATCTACCATGTAGACAATTTCTAGCTACCGTACCTCTTTGGAAGGGTGCCTTTTAGCGGCTCCAAAACGGTTGGTTCGTGCTATTTCGCAGACCTTTGTGCCAGTCTATAAAATTCAATTGCGCGGCTAGAATTATTGTCGTAATTTTATTTAATACTACTTAATGGGCGCATTCTAAGATTATATTTACAAATTTATTGGGCCATCCGATCTCTCAAAAGAAATTCATGAAAAGTGCAAATATACCCGAATTCGAGGCGACGTAAAAAAATTCTCGAGGCTTTAGTAGCCCCGAGTTTTCTGGCATGGACCAAGCTTGGGTAGTCAACTAGAATCCATGGAAATACAAAACATTTTCATGGCTAACGAATTTAGAAGAGCGCCCCAAAGTCGACTTTTCAAAAACGTTATTTTCGGGTTTTAAATAAAAATTAACCATTAAATTCAGCCAGATCATTCCAGAATTTTGCTCTCATACACTATTCGCTGAGTTCTTTAATTGTATCCACCAAACCCCCGTACCTTTTTCATTTTCAAAAATTCGATTTTCGGCCCGGGGCCTCAGGTCCAAAATCGGGCCCCGAGGAGGGTTTTCCACTAAAGGTTTTTAACTTTGTCATTTACCACAGAAAGTAAGCCATTTTTTGCCTGCGTTCTCAGAATCACCCAAAGAACATTCTAGAATAGAAAAATTGGCATTTTATGGCATTTTGTCTTGGCATGCTAAAACGCGCTCTAGGCGGGTTACTGTAGAAAACAGAAAATAGCCGTTTTCTCGCTCTTTTCACCATAGAAACGTTTCAATCTTTCAGGAAAACAAATAATGGTAGTTTTTAGTCCGATGCATCAAAATATTCAGAAATTTCCGTGGCTAAATTCAAAAATACGTTTTTTTGCATATTTTGGGAAGGTGGGTGGCTAGAACTGCGCGATATTTAGCCCATAGGTTACCCTTACTGGGGTTTACCAATGACAAAATTTTAAGCTAAATCGCAGCTTACAATAAAAAGAAAAACGCGAAAAACAAAAGCTACAGTATCCCTCTGGGGCGCGTTTTAGCAAGCAATATTAAAATACCATAGAATCTGGTAAAATTTGGTGTTGTGCCTAAGATTATCATTCGGAGACACCATTTGCAAAAGATCAGCCATGGGCAGCGGATTTGAAGAGAGTTGCGAATTTAAACGTAAAAAGACGCGAATTAGCGAAATTTGTATTGCTTGTAAAAAAATAACTTGAGCTTGAAAAATTCTAAGATTTGGGCATTACCTTTCTGCAATTGTCAGCTATTTATAGGCCAAAAACCAAAATTTTTCCACCACCCGTTCAAGAACGCACAATTTTCGGTCGTAACCAGCGTCAATAGTACAGTTTCGTACTCAAAAATCGAAAAAATCAAGTTGTGTTAAATCTTCATGCCCAGCATATTTAAGCATTCTGGCATGGTAACGTACCTTCGATTCTCAAAGATAAGCGAGATATTTTGGTGCAAACTTGGTTCTTTTTTTTTGACGCACCCTGTATATAACTCTAGCTTAGTAATCAGCAATAGATGAAAAACAATCTACCGGCGGGGTTTTTTGCGCCCTTCCGTGCAGATATCCCAAGCTTGCTCAAAATCCATCCCCATGAGGTGTAGGTCTGTTTTGAGGGGCTTGGCCAAAAATCCTACGTTGTAGATAGTATCCATGTGTAAACTAGCAAATCTGACCGCAAGACTAGGTCAAAAGCATTACATTGAATACAGATGCGGAATCCGCGTAAATGGTCGCTAGTCATGTCGATTGTCTTATACCGTGACTGCACTTCATATCATGTAAAACGCCCTGTTTTGCTCTTGGTTGCCACTAACTAAAAAATATGCGAAATAAACGTTATGCGAGATCATTGCTAGGTGAAATGAAAAGTATGCAAGATGATCGTTATGCCAAATCAAGGTTCGGCGAAATGACCGTTATGCGAAATCGCCGTTAGGCGAAATAAGCGTTATGCGAAATCATCGTTATGCGAAATCACCGTTATACGGAATAAAAATTATGCGAAATGCAATTATGCGAAATAGCGTTATGCGAAATGATAATTATGCAAGATGAAGAAATACCGCTGAAATATACTAATTTGATTTTTAAGTTTCACGCTAAATTTAAGTTACCCCGCAATTTTTAATCTATTAGTCAATTTTGTCAAAAAAATTGGATCTGAACTCACTGATATTGGCCGAATAGTCGTCATCATTCTCGTAGTCGTAGTAATCCTGGCTGGGCGTTTGCGGCTTCTTCGTTGTCGCCGTGGCTGCCCTCTTCTTCCGCTTTTTCCCAAAAATTCCAGCCAGCAGATTTTCGGAAGCCGCGTCTTCTGCGTCCTCTTCTACCTAAAAAATTTGACATTTATCGCGTCTTTCATGACAGAATCCAGGCTTCAATGGCCCTTTAAAACGCACCGGAATTGCCTCGGTAGCCAAAACGACCGTCTTGTCCTTGTTCCACTCGTTGAAGCGCTTCAAGGCGGAGCAGCTGCAAGTTCAAAATTTAATTTTCCAAACGGGGTTATAAAATAAAAAAAATAAATTTAAAAAAAAAAGTTCAAAATTTAATTTCAAAAAAATTTTCCAAGTGGATCGGATGAATCTAATCTATGGTCCAATCGAGGGCGGCAGCAAATTCGAGCAGTTCAAGCTCTTCTAGCCTATTTGACTAGATAGCTGTATAATTTCGAGCTTTTCAAGCTGTTCAGGCAGGCGTCGAGCCGTTCAATAGGCACAGCCCGATTAGGCCGAGAGACTCGCTCAAGAAGTTTCGTCTCTCGAGCTTTTCGGACTGCTCAAGCCGTAAAACACTCTCAAGCCGTCCAACACTCTCAAGCCGTTCAAGCTTTTAAAAAGTTACAGCCGCCCGGAAATATCAACATTTTCAAGCCGTTCGGCCCGCTCAAGTCGTTCACGCCGTTTAAAGGCCTATTGAAGTCCAGAACCCACCGATCAAAGTAATTCGGAGCCGTCGCTGGACAATCCGGATCCAAAGGGTTGATGCACGGGCGGTCCAGGTAGGCGGCGCCAATTCCAGCCTAAGCTTCTGTTTTGTCGTTGATCAACAGGACCTACGCGTTCAAAGAAGTTGCCGACCGGCCCCAAGTCGATGAGGGTCGTCACCTCGCCCATCACCTTGCTGGGGTTCAGGTTCTTCCACGTCACATTACCCTTGGGGAGGGATTGGATGAAGGACGAGACGGCGTTTCTGGAATTTCGGGGTTAAATGGCTGGGCAAGTATGAAAACCGGCTGCTTATAGGGACTAGATCTAGACGACTACGACTAGTAAAATACGCAGCCGCTGAACTGCTCGAACATGTTTTGATGGTTTCTAGCAGCTGTCTCGATGGGATTTGAAGGGAATAAGCCTAATTATTTTGTTTTCGATTTTTTATAAATTTCTTTAACCGCGCCGCAATACGCGATTCTTTAAAGGAACCCGGACAGCTGGAAAATCACCCCAGATGCAAAACTGACCCCAAATTGATAGGCGGATCCGGGCCCAACGGCTTTGAACCCTCCCAATAGCAGTCGATCGGCGTAATCCAAATGCAGGGAATCATCTGGTCGAGCACCTTTCCCAGAATCTATCATGTAAGTTAGTATAGATTTTTCGAGCCACTCCAACCTTGGCCACGGGGTTGGCGGGAAGTTCAGGCTGGGGCGGCTTGAAGCAGATATCCGCGAGGGTCCAATTCCTGGAAAAGATGATTTTGAAAGTAGTACAAAAGTCTAGATTTGCTTGCCTTCAATGGTCCTTTAAAACTGATTCTAAAACTTACTGTCCATATAATTCGACTTTGTATGCGGCGATCTCTTCCATCAACGTGACGTGCTTCAGAAGTCCGGCTTGGTTCAGAGCGTTCTGTCCGTCGACTTCTGGGGTTTGGATGACTACCTGAATTCGTGGAAATTATTGATTAAAGGTACGCTACACTATGCTACGATTCCTGATTCTCTACGCTGCGCAGTAAACAACGCGCTAGGCTACGCAACCGGCAGTTTGGCTACGCTAAAGTACGCAACGTTCCAAGATACTACAGTACACTACACTACGGTACGTTAGGCTACAGTATGCTTTTCGTACGCATTAGTCCTACGTGCTACAGTAAGCTAATATACGCTACGGTCCGTGAAATGGTTTAGTTACAGTTATCACTCCGCCGAAACCCTAAATTTACGGATTAAGCAGCTATTTTCTTAATTGCCTTACAAGCCCACTTCGAGGCCTAAACCTAGGCTAATCCGGAATGAAGCAAAGTAAGCTAGTAAGCTAGCCTAAGCCTAGGCCTATGCTTAATCCTGAAAATCACCTAGGCACCGAAGCCCAATCCTGAGCCAAAATCTCACCTGAAATCCGCCGCCCAGCCCATTCTCCTTCGGCAATTCCGGTCCGGCGTATCCCTCAGGTTTTGCAATTTTTGGGGGCCCCGGCTTCTTCTTCATCTTGGTCCCATTTCCGGGTCCATGCCCTACTGCTGCAGGGATTATGGGTGGCGGCATCATGCCCGCGTCGCGTTTTGTCTATAAACTTCGATACGCTCCAAATGCCACCAATACCCTCGCGATTTGCTGGTGTACCCGGGAGAGGTAGTGCATCTCTTCGTCTAGACGTCCGCCTTCTGGAATGGAATCAGTAAAATTTCAGGGTTTTAATGGTTAAAGGGACCGGCAGGTCTGGGCTATGAATTTCCTATGGCTTTTGCCGCGACACGCAACGCGACGGCTAACAATTTTCATGACGTAACGGAGTTTAATACGGAGACGCCGGTTTTTTGGCTATGGATTCCAAAATCGTTTTTTACCGTGCCGCAACGCGCGCACGATTTAGATACCATCTTGGGGGCGTAATCGATTACGCAATGAAATGTGAGGAGCGCGCATCGCATGTTGCAGGCACCGAAAAATCGATAAAGAATACATAAGCAACAAACCTATAGCCTTGTCTTGCTCATTCCTTTAAAGGGACTCTGACACCTAATTTCAAACACTCACGCGGTACCCATAGCTTCACAATGTCCACTTCGATAATCACGTTTTTCAGGCCGGCACAGCAGGCCGTATATAGTATTAAGGAAATGATGGCTATCGTCCAGGGCCATCGCTGGATGAAATCACCTGAAAAATGGTGTTGTTGCTTTCTCTCTCTCTCTCTCTCTCTCTCTCTCTCTCTCTCTCTCTCTCCCTCTCGCTCGCTCTCTCTCTCACTCTCTCACTTTCGCTCTCTCTGTCTCTCTATCTCTCTCACTCTCTCACGCTCACCGATTCGCTCTCTCTATCTCTCTCACCTTCTCTCTCTTTCTCACTCACGCTCTTTCTCTCTGTCGGTCTCTGTCGGTGTCTGTCGGTCTCTCTCGGTCTCTCTCTCTCTCTCTCTCTCTCTCTCTCTCTCTCTCTCTCTCTCTCTCTCTCCCACTCACCCATTTTAAACAAATTCCGCTGAAAGAACGTCCTCGAGTAGAGGGCTATCCGATTTCCATGTGCCTTCCCCTGAAAATGCGTCCTAAGGGGTCCTAAAGTCTTCCGTACCCTTCGGATCTGCTGTAGACTCATATCCGCATCGCACCATGTTGGAGCGTGGCTAAACTTCTCCTTCCAAGCAGCCGTAAAATCAGCCGAATCGGACTGGCCGACGTAGTTTCGTTGAAAGTACTGAAAAATTGAATTTTAAAGGTGTTGAGAAGCTGAAAAAACCAACCCTTTGTGCTACTAGGTGTGGACATCTACGCACCACTCGAAAATTACACGAAAACTATTTTTAATTTTTGTTTAAAAGTTGTTTTGAGCTTATTTTGTCCTGTGCGTGGCTGTCTAGACCTATTGGGCTGCCAGGATCGATTCTCGCATTTCCCGACACCTTTAAAGGAACTTGGAATGCAGAGCAGCTATGGATTGGCATGCTCTTGATGCAGCCATCCCTTTAAACCCCTATACCCACATCATCAACGGCATTAAGTGCGGTCCTTAGCGGTCCCGCCGACTTCCGGTGCCGCACCTTCTCCTCAGAGTCGTACACACGACTCATCGGCGATCGGAGCCCTGCAACGAATTAGGGGATTACGGTAGTTGGGGCGTGTTTTGGAAGAAGTTGGACGAGAATCGAGGAATGAAGTCGGAAGTGGGAAAAATCTGCCGGAGAAAAATCACAGCAGGAAGCCGGAATGGAAATTGACCTCCAAAAAAATTTTTGATTTTTTTAAAGGAACCGTGAAGTCGAAAAACAGCTTTACGGCAAACCTTTGAGATATTAAGTGGTTTATATTGTCAAAATATCGCATGTTTTCATCATTTTGGTGCAAGAAATAGGTCTTGAAACGGTCACGACAATGACCGGCTTGAAATTGGCGTAAAAAGTCACAAATCGGTCGGAGAAACAACACGAGGTGAGAGAGAGAGGGGGAGAGAGAGAAAAAGAGAGAGAGAGAGAGAGAGGGAGAGAGAGAAAAAGAGAGACAAACACTTGTGATAACTGTTTCCCCAGCCCAAATCACACCACATCATCGAATTACGGGCGGCCACCCAAAACCACCACTTTTCGGTCAAAATTTGGACCTGTGGAATCCGAGGAAAAGTGCTTATTGCGATTAGTGTGGGTTAAAGGAACTGCGAAGGCAAATTTGAGAATTTTGGACAACTGCTAAATTAAAATTTAAAAAAAATTCGAAAAAATTACGTCCTCAAAATCATCGTGATTTCGGGAATTCCGTTTGGCGCCTATAAACGGGTCGGGCGTAAAATTGGGGCATTTTCGACGACGGGTACGGTAAGTTCTGATCATGATGGATGGAGATTAATTTCGTCAGGAATCATAGTATAAAAAAATGAACCAAATTTAGGTAATTTATGCGTTTTTAAATGCAAACCTATCGGAGAATACTCGATTTTAAAGGAATAGCAAAGGAAGGTGAAAAAATAAGCTGGCATATATGTACCTTTAAGCGGCAGCACAGTAACTAGCGGCATTAGACATTTCTGAGCCTGATTTGCGTATTTAAAAGTGATTAAGGCAGTCCTGATTTGTCCCAAAATCAAGAAATCCCCCGGAATCGATAAGTCGAGCTCTACCCGCCGGGGGTCGAGGCGAAAAAACGAGCGGAGCAAGAGGAGGCGGACGAGGTGGAGGAGGAGGCAGTGACGCGCAACGGATCCGGTATTCGGACCCCCAGAGCACCCACTGACAGCAGGATTGGCATGACCTGCACTACAACACTCACAGGATACACAGACGCTGTCAACGCCATTATCACCGGAATTGGGAAATTTTAAAGGGGCTGGGAAGCCCAAAAATCGACCCCTTCTTATGGCTTGATCTAGACAGCGACGTGACGCACCAAATTACGCGCAACAAGTTTTAAAAAATTGTAGTCTTGCAGCTGTCGAGACCCAGTCGATAGAAGAGGTAGATTTTTGTCTTTTTCCGGATTCTTTTAAGGAATGAGAGAGAAGCAGAGTCTACCCCTTTCTTTAGCTAGGTCTAGACACCGATGCATCACGCGAATTTACTCGGTATAAGCGGATCTTATCGAAATCCTAGTGCCGCTTCAGGAGTATTTTGGTGCCTTTCGTAGCTGTCGAGACCTCGTCGCCAGAGCGGTCGTTTTTCGCTTTCCAACGCTTTTAAAGGGACGGGCAAGGCAAGTTTGTGGCGTTTGGACGACTACTGGCTATTTATAGGAAAGGTAATCGAGATCTTCCAAAAGCTTTCCAAAGGGTAGGAAAATTGCGATTCATTTCAAAAAAAATGGAGGGAGTATAAAAATTTTCAACCAATTTTTTAATACCGAAAATATTCGAATTACGGTAAATGCCTTTAAAAATGCAGGATTTTGTTTTTCTGACGTCTCCAGAAAAAAACGCGTAAATTCGGCGCACTCGGACGGTTCGTATTGTGCCGTTGGCCGTGTTTGCCGATATATTTGTTGTGAATTGGGGGCTATTGAAAAGGGGGGAATGGCCGGATGGCATAGTACAGTCGCGGAATTGACATATCTGGCTATTCAAGCTATTCCAGCTTGCCAAAATATAGCCCCAAAAGTCATATTAAAAAGTAGAGTCAATAACATCAATTAAAACTTCCATTCGCGCTTGAAAATTGGGTGTCAATAGGCGTAGTTCGGAAACGTGGAAAAATATAACCAAAATAAGCTTTTAAAACGATTAAAGTAAGATCTAATCTATATTATTCTACCGTGATTTAATTAAATTTTAATTATTAGGATGGATTTCATAAAAGGATTTGGAAGTGCTGTCAAAGAAACAAAGACTCATAGCCGAAACCTAAAAAACCTCACGCTCCAAACGCTTGAGCATGAGCACGAGCTTCATCACAAGCCAAAGGAATCCCAGGGTCATTCCGGTCAAAGAGAGGGACACAAGAAGAAGCTGGGAAAGAAGAAGCCGAAGAGGAAGCTGGAGCTACAGACAATGCCAAGGCGGTGGGAGATCGAGATTAGGATCTGCAGACGACTTGGGCAGGGCGGAAGGTGAAAACGGGAATATTACAAAAAAGACAGGCTATAGACGAGATGTCAAGGGGTGTGAAGTGGAAGAAGTGGCCTAAAGGTGGAAAATTTGGTCTAACAAGGAGTCGCTTTTAGGTGCTTTTGGAGTTTCGGGACGGCACCTAGCTAGTTCGATAGAGAAAAAAAATTCTGAGCAACATCCCGTTTTCAAAAAGTGCTGATCGATAAAGCTGTTTTAGAAAATTGAATTTAATTAAAAATGTTCCCGGTGTCCGGACCCCTGTGGTGATTTGAGGTGATTTGCGGCGGTCGATCGCCCCTGCCACATGAGGACTTCACGCGCCTTGGATCTCGTCTTATGCATGGCCAAGTGGCTAGTGCGTTGGCCTACGAAGTTTTTTTGACCTTTTGCCACAAGTTCGATTCTTATTTACCGTTAACTCTTTGCTTTTTTGCTAATTAAAATTTTATGCACCGATAACGGGTTCAAGAACCAAAAAGCAAAGGGTTAGCCAGCGCGAAGATTCGAACCCGAGGCAAAAAATGTTAAAAAGTCGGTAGGCAAGCGCGCTACCAATACGCCAATGCCATCTGTGATGGAGGCATTGGCGGAGAGTTACGAATGGCGCCCTGCCCAGCCCCCAAAACGACGTGAACCGAGGAAATGGACCCGAAAACCAGAAAAAAAACGCGAAATTTAAATTAAATTTTCTAAAATGCCTTTATCGATCAGCACTTTTTGAAAACGGGATGTTGCTCAGAATTTTTTTTCTCTATCGAACTAGCTAGGTCCCGTCCCGAAACTCCAAAAGCACCTAAAAGCGACTCCTTGTAAGATCTCTCTCTCTCTCTCTCTCTCTCTCTCTCTCTCTCTCTCTCTCTCCTTCCATAAACATCACTGCTAGCTGGCCCAGTTCTCCTAAAGGGACCCGTAAAGAACAGCTTAGCACTCTCGGTCTCGCTCTCTCTGGCTCTATCCCTCTCTTGGCCTCTCTCTCTCTCTCGCTCCAAGATCATCTCTGCTAGCTAGCCCATGCAGCCAAGCTTAATCCAAAAACATGTGTAGCTGATGAGCGGGTGGCTTTTGGACTGATTTGTTGGTGCTGAGTGGCAATTGGAGGCATCTCTAGATCTCTAGAGAGAGAGAGAGAGAGAGAGAGAGAGAGAGAGAGAGAAACAGAGCACCTATGACAGACAGATACCCTCGATTCAGCGCACGCCCGGTGGCAGCGAACGTGTTTCTGCCGTAGGCATTGGAGTGGTGTGGGTGGGGATAGGTGTGCCTCGTCCTCCTCTCTTCCCCACCAATCCAGCTCCAATTTTGTGATTTGCCTCGGTGTGGCTGGCTGAGGGGGGGATGGTCAGCGAATCGTGGGGCCGATTCGCTGACATCATGAGTCTAGAGGAACTTTTTGTCCGGGGTGCTGTTGCTCAGGTTTGAAAGTTTAAAGGGATGGGCAAGGATGACATTGGATTTTTTTACTATGGGCCATCAGGCTATCTTTATCACACGACGATAAACGGTGAGAGAGAGACAGAACGAGAGAGCGAGAAAGAGAGAGAGAGAGAGAGAGAGAGAGAGAGACAGAGCGAGAGAGCGAGAGAAGAGGAGAGAGGGAGAGGGGGGGAGAGAGAGAGAGAGAGAGAGAGAGAGAGAGAGATTGACCCAGAGCTAGATAATCAGAGAACCATATAAATAGCAAATACAGATACCCAGTTCCATATATGCAAACGTGAACTGCACGAGCCTGACGGCAATGGCGGGAGGATGAGCATGAACTTGTGGTGCCCCCTCCTCCTTAAAGTGTCACTTCGGATGGGGGAGGAGGCAAAATGGCTTCCACCCCTTCCTCGACCACAATCGCCCCTTGACAGCCCCCCTTTTTTAGCGGTCAGATGGACAGACAGGCGGAAACGTTTTTTATGGTTTGTGTTGAACCGGTTTAGTGTGGGAAATTTTAGGAAAATCTTTTTAGAATCACGTCTCTATTTAAATTGGCTTCATAAGGCATCTGAGTGCTTTTTAAAAGGACGCGCAAGGCAAGGCTCACGAATTCTTGGCGAGGGATTTTCTAAAGATTTTGCCGGGCCCGCAACACGTAGATCTTAATACTAAAAGGAAGCTAATCGATTACGACATTGAATGCGTGATATGATATATTGTCGACGCAGTAAAATTCGTTGTGAATAAGCGGCCAATAATATCTATAGCCATGCCTTGTCCGTCCCTTTAAGAAAAATTTAAGGCAAAGCCGACCGGCTCCACCGCTAGGTCTCGACAACTACACACTACATTAGGTTACGCAACTAATTTTACCGTTGTGGTGTCCATGTGTTGGTGCTGTCTAGATCTAATCAAAGACAAGGGTCGAACCCGCGCTTCCGGGTCTCTTTAAACCTGAGTTGTAGAGGTAGGCGAAGAGATCTCGGTTTTAGAGGAAGAAAGAGTGTGAGAGAGCGAGAGAGAGAGTGAGAGAGATACCCAGTTCACAGCTTACGCCTGCCAATTTTTGGAATGAACAGGTCGGAGGTGTGACTCAGAAACACACCGTTGTTTCACCCCCGCGTGAGGGTCAGGAGCATTTTTGGAACAATGAGTCCTTTCGGCGGGGCTGCTGAAACAAGTTCTACATGCTTTATTTGTCTGAGTGTACAGTCAAGCGGGCTCCGTTAGTGAACTATGGACAGTACGGTATCACGGGGAATCGGGACCAAAAGAATTGAGGTTCAAGAGGAAACTGTTCTCCAAGTGGCCAAAAGTTCCGCATGTGTACTGTTTACGGGGCTTATTTTCAAAATGTCGAAATTCATAATGTCGAAACTCATAATGTCGAAATTCATAATGTCGAAATTTCATAATGTCGAAATGTCAGAATGTCGAAATGTCAGAATGTCGAAATTTACATAAGCTAAAATTCCCGGTAAAGTCCCCGAATTCTAGACAAAAAATGTTGTCGTGAAATAAGATTAAAAAATAGAAGGTGGAAAAATTTTTTTTGGCTAGGATTTGGCGGTTTCACCGGTAATTAGCCTATGTAAATTTCGACATTATGAAATTTCGACATTATGACATTTCGACATTATGAAATTTCGACATTATGACATTTCGACATTATGAGTTTCGACATTATGATTTTCGACATTATGATACCAATTCTATTTACGGTACACTGGGTTCAGGAAATAGATGTATACAAAGGCCTAAGAGAACGTGAAAAAAGAAAGAGAGCCTAGGCCTAAACCTAATCCTAAGCCAAGACTAAGCCAAGTCTAAGCCAAGCCTAAGCCAATAAGCCTAGACCAACCAAGCCTGATTCTAAGCCTAAGCTTAGGCCCAAGCCTGATCGGACTGCGGTCAGCAACAACAAATCGCGGCAGCATACAGAAAATCAGCATGAAAGTTCCGCCAAAAAAAAAATAGGCGTCCTTTGACCCGAAAAACATCGATTTTCCGGATCACCCTCCGTAGCGATTCGGATTGATATGCATCCCGTCGCCCCTTCCCAGCAGGTCGCTACTCTTTTTGACCCAAATCTGTGATCCTGGAAGCCACCCCACCCCTCCCTTCCTTTCACCTTTCCTTCCCACATTCGGCCAGTTCCGAAACCCCTGAAACCAGGCCCGACCAGGCGTCGATAGGTGTTTCCCGTAGTCTCGACCTAGGCGTGCGTTCGCCAAATGCCTCTCCCATCAATTATTTCTTTCCGCTGCTAAAGGAGTTTTGAGTTTTGGGGGGATTCGAAATTATGATAAATAATCGGACATTTTTAGTTTAAAAAATCGGCATTTTTAGTTTAAGAAATCGAAATTTTTAGATTTTTAGCAAGAATTTTCCCCTTTTTTACGTTTAAAAAAGGCTAGCAAAATTGTAGAAAACAAATTTATGATTATTCGGAAAATTCGATACAATGAAAAATCCCCCGCACCCCCCGATAATGCAAAAGCACCGATTAATAGGTCAGGCTAGGGAGCAGCTGAAGGCTGGCAGAGAGCATTGGGGAATCAAGGCAAAAAATAAATCAGACGAGTAGGGTAGCAAGGGAAATTCCGAACCAAAGAAAAATTCCGGATTCCGGTCCCTTTCATGTCTCCCCGGTCTCGACCGGAGATAAATTTGCATGAGAAGGGCTACCCGGGAAGGAGTCGGACTTTTTGAAAAAGGAGATGATCGGTGTGAGAGAGAGAGAGCGGAAGGGAGTGAGAGAGAGAGAGAGAGAGAGTGAGAGATAATGCGAGAGAGAGAGACAATTTCGCGCCACGGATTAGAGCCTGTTTTCAGGGCTGCGGCCCTGAAAAGGCATCTCTGAAGTGAGCAATGGCCGGTCGAGGAATCCGGGTGATTTCCGGAGAGGGTCCGGAATTGAGTCCGCAAGGTTACTATCGGCACAAACAATGTCTATCGTAATGTGACGGAATTTTGGAAGGTTATATGCACTTTGAAAGGTTTAAAAACACGTTAAAAACCCGGAAATGACAAATCAATGAAAATTTGCATATTTTCGTATGGGAAAGCCAAGATAAGGTTCTTAGGATTTATTCAGAGCCCTCAAGCTTCAGAAAAACACTTCTAGCGTCAGCTGAAAATCCGCAAAGATCCGGAAAGCAGTGAAAGCTCGCCTGCTTTACTAAAGTCTGCCCCAAGCACCGTACTTTCACCAGCCCCGGCAACCGGCCAGTAATGGATCCGGCCCTTTTTCAGCCGGTTGAAAGCTCGGGAGAGAGGGGCCGATCGTCCGTTCGTCTTTACGGAATGTAGCGTAGTCTCGAGTTGCATAAATTTTAGAGCGAGTGAGAGAGCTAGAGAGAAAGAGAGAGCGAGAGAGTGAGAGAGAGCGAGAGAGAAAGAGAGAGCGAGAGAGTGAAAGAGAGCAAGAGAGACAAAGAGAGGGAGAGGGAGAGAAAGTGAGAGAGAGAGAGAGAGGGGGAGGGAAGAACCCTTGCTAGAGTTTTTGGATTCATATAAACCGTCAAAAAATAACTTAAAAAGAACTTAAAGATTGCCACATGAGACAAATTAAAGGATTACACTACAGTACACTTTACACCACAGTACGATAAACTCCAAAAAAAGAATTCTGACGTGGTAATTGCCGGCTGCGCCTTCAATTATCCGCCCCCAAAACCAGCGACGGTTCTGGTCAACAAACACTCAGAAGTGACTCGCTCCCACTTGTTGTACACCTCGTGCTCACTGCTCTCTCGCTCTCTCTCACTCTCTTTCTCTCTTTCTCTCTCTCTCCATCACGAATCCCCCATCGCCTGTATAAACCCGCGCCCGAAATCCGCCTTTTTGAGCCGCGCGGCATTTCAAGAGGGCGGAAAGGGAAATTCGTGTAGCCAGGAGAAAACTACCAAAAAACATGTACGCATGCTAAATCGAAGTTTTCGATCAAGTGTGGTATATTCCGGATTTTAAAGAGGCTTGGATGCACCAGACCTCTTTCAACGACTAGGTGTCGACAGTTTTTCGAAAATCAGCTCTGCAAGCGTGTCCTGTGAGCCGTGATTTGGGCTGTCGCAACTGTCTCGGTCGAGACCTAGTCGATGGAGGGGTTGATTCTTCTACTCCCAGCCCCTGTAAACGGGAAGGAGCTTCTGGTATCGGAAACGTTTTGAAAATGCCGACCTGCTGGAAATGCCGACCGAAACCGGGAAATTGGAAAATTTGGAAAATTCCCAAGCGGCTAAAATAATGCCGAAGATGGTGAAAGCGACTGTCGATAAGGACAAAAATGCCGAATATCGAAACATGCCGAATGTCAAAAAAAACATTCCTTCGACAAGGTCGGTCGAAATTAGCGATTTTTAACACCGAAGATCGACAGACGAAATAACACCGAAATAGGAAACGAAATACCGAATCCTGGTTTTCACAGCATATCGACAACCAAGGACCGACAATAGCGACCATCTGACGCGTTTATACCGCTTTTCGGTATTTTTATGAAGTTGGGAATTTTGGAGGTGTACGGTATATAGTGTTTTCCGGTCGGCTTATTCCAAAAATACCCTTCAGCTAAAATCTCATCGTCTCATCCGGAGCAAAAAATCGTTTGGAAGATGGAGAGAGAGCCTTGGAGGTCTCCTTGAACGGTCAAGCACCTAACAGCTAGCACCCGTCTCGAGGGGTCGGGGCGAGAATCCGGGGAGGGCATAAAATCAGATCCGGCGATGCGGAAACAGATCGATCTGGGTGGTGAAGGTGGCGGGAGGAGGAGGTCGAGGTGAAGAAGAGGGGGAAAGGAGGGGGAGGAGAAGCCGTGTCAATGTGGTGGATCGGGGGGTGATAGAGTCGAGCCGGAGAGAGAGAGAGAGCGAGAGAGAGAGAGAGAGAGAGAGAGAGAGAGACTGCCGCGGGAGAACCAGCCCTGAAGCTCAGGCCCCCTTCAGAGACTGGATATGGTAGAGGACTGTCGGAACTCCGTGTGAAGCCACATCCACTCACATATCCACCTCCCTTTTCCATAGCCAGACCAGAATGTCGAACCCGCGCCTCGCGCCGAATCGAGCCGTCCGCAATTTGGTCTCACCCGTCTCCGCTCTTCCACCCATTATAAAGCCATCTGCACCCAAAAGATCTGGGAAGGACTGCTGGGAGGTGAACGATCGGTTAGGGAGTTTGATAAACAAATTAAGGTAAAGGAGAGTGCAATCTTTATTTTTCGGGCCACAATCCCGACATCAAAAATACCGAATCCTAAATCAGGACAGCGAATATCCCGACAGCAGGTCCCAAAAAAAACCGAAAAAGTGACTTTTACCTTTTAAAATCCGACAGTAAGAAACCCGAGACGCGAAAATCCGGACAGAAAAAATTTGGACACCCAGGACCCCGACAAGCCAAAATCCCGACATCCCAAAACCCGGAAAAACGCATTCAGCTCTTGTCGCTCCCTTTAAAACTAATGAAGCTAAGTTTTCTGAGCTTTTTCCCGATCCTCTTTCCTGATGGTTTGTGGTGTATTGTTAGAGATGATGTGCACCTGTCTGGTGCCTGCCAACGGGTATATAAAAATAATAAAACTATACAAATAAAATATGCGGCATGATACCTGAAAAAAATAATTTATATTTATTTCAAAGCCCAAAAAATTTGAATCTTGGTCCAATGGTCAAATGAAGTGCTTCAGAATTGTTAATAATACCGGCAATGCAACTTGTGTGAGCAAAATAATCTCAGGTCAACGAGAGAGAGGGGGGAGAGCGAGAGAGAGAGAGAGAAAGAGAGAAAGTGAGGGAATGAGAGCGAGTGGATAAGTTTCATGGCTGATCAGGCGGTAAATCCTTTGATGACGACGGTGTCAGATGAGTGATCGAGTTCAGACGAGCGGAAAAGCTTCTGCGTATCCTCTCGTACAACGGGGCACACATCCGGAGGGCCATCTAAAATTCGTCGCTAAAAGATGACCTAGCTACCGAACCTCATAAGGTGGCGGCGGTTCGTTGGGGAGTAGTGGAACGTTGTCAACATCGGACTCCATCGGCCACGCGTAGGAGTCTTGGCCTGGAATTGAGTGAGTCCATACCCGCATGTAGCGTCAGTATGTATCCTAGCGTACTGAGGACCGCGACGCCTACATACCGCAGAAAACCCTACCTCTTCCGGTTCCGGAAAGTGAAATTCCGCCGATGGAAAGACTTCTAGCTACTCTCGTAGCTGAAGAGAGCCGGATGGGCTGAGCACGATGTAGTGAGGGACGAGCGCTGGAAAATTCGTTTTTAAAGGATGGTAACATGTCTAAAATTGGCAAAAAATCCAAAAAAAAATAATTTTCCGGGTGAAATTCAGTAAAATTTATTAAAAAAACATCTATTTTAGGTTTTAACCGGAAAAGGGTATGTATTTTTTCTCAAAGAAAAAAAACATACCCCCTAAAGAATGTAAAACTTCGACTCCTCGGCGGAGTCCTCAAATCCCCGACAACGTCATCCTCTTCCAGCGCTCCGTAATTTCTATAGAAATATGATTTTTGTAGCTTTTTCTTCTAGCTCCTACCGTATGACGACATTTTCGTTATCAACATTCCCGCGTACGTCCCGCCCAAAAAGCCCACCAGCGGCCCGATTTGGAGCCATGAGAATCTAAAGTCGGGAAATTCAAAAGTTTTAATGTTTGCCTTCGACGTTTTTTCAAAAGGTAATATTCATTTTAAAGGAGTCGGCAAGTCCTGGCTATAAATTTCATGTATCCTGTTTTCTCTGCGCCTTTAAAGGGCTGCCGACGGCATGTGTCGATCCCCCCATCAACAAATTGGCAAGTAGCCAACAGGGCAGAGAGTGAGAGCATAGACATTTTCTTTTCAGCGCGTAACCGATTGGCTATGCCGTCGGCATCCCTTTAAAGGAACTGGTAAGGTACGGCTCTGGATTCAGCACTTAATACGCAACGCACACGCTAGCTTGGTCGCCATAAAATTGTCGTAATCGATTAGACAATGGAAAAACGGCCAGGTGCGTTGCGTGTCAAGCCGCGGTTATTTCAATAGCATCCATAATTAGCAAGATCCATAATCAAACCTTGCGCGGTCCTTTAAGCGATCATTCTACCGTAAGCTACCGTAACCCAGAAACTCATCCAACTTACCACATTAGCATTCCCAGGATGCATCAACATGGCCTGCGAGTAGGACGGTACGACAAAGTACTGTTCACGCCGTAACAACGCCTCGAATTCTCGTGAATCCATCGTAGACGTGCGTGTTAAGGGGCCTGTGTAGTTCACGGAAGATGGACTAAAAAATTTGGGTCAAACCGGTTTAAAGGACCATTGCAGACAAAAACTAACAATTGCGCAACCCATTACGCTATATAATCTTGTAATTACCTCAGATAATTCGTCCCGAATAATTTTGTAACGTGAAAAGATAGGAAGGCGGTCCTCCACTCGGCCAGTAGTCGCAGCGGCCAGGATAAGAGGAAAATCGAGAGCAACCAGAAGACCTGGAAGTTTGATGTTTTCGTAATTATTATTTTCAAGGTATATAAAGTCTTAAATGAGCTAAATATGCTAATACAAGCCTAATATATGTAACTTCTTACTTACCCATGCTCTCAAAAACCAAGGCGGCCGCTCGGACTGAAAACACAGCAATTCGTCGTCGAATTCGACGTTTAGCATATCCATTCCCTCGCGAACCTGTCAAATATCGGTAATTAAAGTATATTAAATGACGCATGATTTTCTAAAATTTTTTGGCTCAGAATTTGAAAGGATTTCATAGTTCTAGCGTTCAAACCTAGGAGAAGCATTTGTAGAGAGCGTAATTCAACGAAAAAAAAAAACATTCTATGAAGTGTAAAAATTTATTGAAACGTAAAAACTATTTAGTTTTAAAGATATTGCCAGAATTAAGTGATCGCTGACCTCCATATAATCATCCTTGGTCTCGTTCTCGTTAAAAAACCGTGTGCGCTGCTCCTCGAACTCGTTGGCGGCCTGGAAATTCCCATTGTTGTTGTTCTAAAAACTTCAAACCTGCATACAGGCAAAGACGAAGCCCTTGGCGACCTTGATGCGCGTAACCGGATACTTTTCCAGTCCCTCGACCTGCTTGCTGATGTCCTAAACGTAGATTTTAGCTATAGCTAACACTTCTAAGGCGATGCGATTTTACTAGATTTCGACGGGATGCTATGTTTTGGAAATATCACTAATCTTGGAAAAACATACAAATTTTAGCCTACCCTCAACCCACAGACATCATACAGGAAAACGTTGCCCGCCGAGTGCGAATTCACCCGTTCGTAGTACACTTGCGTCGCGGTGATCGCGTCACCGTTTCGGTATCTGAATTTTTCGTCCAAGGTTAGTAGAATTATCGCATGAAGCGTAAATTAGGGCAAAAATTATGGAAATTAAAAAGATCAGGGAGTTTCAGGGCTGGCTGCATGCATTTGATTTGCAGGCAGACCCACCGGGTGACCTGCCTGGTCCTCCTCAAATAGTGGTAGCACACCGCGCGCCACCAGACGATTGGCGGACTCTCGCGTAGCATTCCAAGATATGCTTCGGCCGTTGGCAGGTCCGTCTGAAAATGGTAATTACAAGTTCAACTATAACCGCTAGCTGTTAATGTATTGAACGCATTGGTTAGGGATGCACAGAGAAGCGCTGCGTAGTCGCACTTAGACTACGCGCGGCTGCCCTATGCACTTTGACTCGGTGCGCTAGGCCTTCAGTGTGTTCGACTTCTCGACATTTTCGAGCAGGTAACTTCCTCCTTCAACTTACACGCTTAATCTTTGCATGCCTCGCGCGTGAATGCCAGCATTCCGTCAGGTAGACGACGTACAATATTGCGCCGAAGACGAGTGGGATGAAGTTGTAGCCCTGGGCGCAGGCGCCGTGGTGGTATCTGGATTTAAAACGGTTTGATAAATACTGAATATAAATTAAATCTGGTCTTTAAAATACAACGGTCGAGGAAGCACCTTAAGAAATTTAGAATAATACTTTAAAAACCGATTTTCGTGTCTTAAAAATTACTTAAAAGCACTGCTCCCCGAGTAGGCGTCATGCTCGACGTGGCAGTAGGTAGCGTAGAAGATGCAGAAGCCTAAAAATGTGAGAAATATTTATAACAACTTATTAGCCATTAAAAATTAAAATACCGATAAGTACGGTGCAGATGAAGCACTTCCAGTATGGGCTGCGGACAAGCACGCGGAGGAAGGACCGGCGCCGCACTTTCTAAAAATTTACGCGTTTTCCCCGCTGTTTTTAATACATAATCAATACACTATTTTTGATAAATAATTTAATTTATGTAATTAATAATAGTTGTATTCTACAATATATAATTAATTTTGGTATAAAATTTGACGCACCGCCACATGCTCCACTTCCAACGCCGCGGCCATCTCATCTGTGCTGGAGGCGGGGCATCTGCTGCAAAATGTTAAATTTTTTTGGATCAGAAGTATCAAAAAGTCAAAATAAAAACAATAAAAAACATTTAAAATCGTCAAAGACAATTTTTGTAACTTTTCATTTTCAAATAGGCGCCATCATTAATGCGCAAGGTAATTTTCATAGATAAGCACTAATGCAAGATAATCAATTGACCCCAGATGGCGATTCGCTTCCATTAGTGTCAAGAGAAGGCGAGTGATAAGGGTATCTGAGCTTGCGATAAGCGCCTCTCTGTTTCTTACTATAAAACCCTACTCTCTTACCTCCTCTATCCTCTATAAAACTTTATTTTCATCATTTATATTTATTTTACATATTCTTAACTCCGATCCATATTTAGGCCCCCTTGAAATGACTACGCCAATGAGCCCAGCTGACGATGCTTCCCTCGATTTTGAAGAAGGCGTTTTGGTCATCGACGTCGAGGGCTTTGAAGATGACGTTACGGAAACGGACAATCAGGTATTCTTCGAAGGCTTTATTACTATATTACTAGTTCATACTTATGTATTACTACTTATGGTGGGATGAAAATCCGATATTGAGGTCAAAACAAATCGATTTTCCCGCCTAAAAGGACCCAATCTCCATTTTTTTACACTTTTTCGTAATTCTCTTAAATTTTTGGAAAGGTTTTTAGTAAAATTTAAGTATGTCATATTGAAGGGAGAGAGTGAATGAGAGAGTCGATGAGAGAGCGGGTGCGAGAGCGAGATAGAGAGCGTGAGAAAGAGAGAGAGATAGAGATAGAGAGAGAGAGCGATAGAGAGAGAAAGATTTTTGCATTTTTAGGATAATTCGTCCATAGCTACTCCGTTGACTGAGTCAGAGACTATCGACTTGGTCGACTTGGATGTGGCCGAAGAATTGGAAGGCTTGGAGGAAGATGAGGGCAAGAAGGAAGGAAGTCTAGCTGAGGGCGAGAAAAACAAGAGACCCCAAGCTAGTTCGGCGGACAACACAGTCGCTCAGGAATTTGAAAAGCCGGCATTGGACGAAATTAAGTGCACGGTACGTTCAAAACATTATTTTTTACATATTATTTTTCTTTTAGAAATGCGGACTACCCCCAAAAAGCGGTTTTGTTCGCGACATTGCCGAGCACATGTCCAAGCATTCTTCAGAAGTCTATCGGTAGGGAAAATTTGCATTTCTTGGGATCAGAAGTTTACGGGAAGGTGTAAATAATACTCTGTAACTAAAATATGCAGTTTGCAAATACAGTGTAGCAGCGCAGGCTAGCAGCAATCATTTAGGAAGTATAGAGGTTCTAGCGGTCTAGCAGAGGTCATTCAGGTAAAAGTTAAGATCGAGTCCCAGGTAGGCTAGCAGAGAGCCTTTAGGAAATAAGCCGAGGCGGGGTAGGCTAGCAAAGGTCCTTTTATTTTTACTACGCTATCGATAAACACTTGCAAGCCTTGCTGTAACACCAGCATTAATGGTACGTCATTAAGTGTAAAACTTCCTAGATTTTTTTAGAAATGGTCATTTTTGGTATTAAAATCAAGCTTTGGTTTGAAAATTGGTTGGCCTTACCATTAACGATTATATATAAGATTATATTATAGGAAATAGTACTATTTATAGGTATCAATGCGGCGCATGCCCGGCCAAATTCGTTAGTCTCTTCCGGGCGGCAATGCATATGCACCGCGTACATCACGACAACATCGCCGCAACCCCGATTGACTTAATGTAAGGAATTTTTAAGTATATTTTATACACATTCTTCTTTGCTATACTATAATATATCATTAAATTTCTAGGGATAACAAGATGAAAGAGTCCTACAAGTTACTCACCATGATCTACTTCCCGGCGGCTGTTGAAGCCGTTCAGGAGTGGTGCGGCCTTAACCTTTCTTGGGTAAGTTTTTAACTAGCTTCTGATTTCTCGATATTTTTAGAAAAACAAAGAGAGCTACTGGCGTTGTCTGCGGAAGTTGGTGACCTGTCAGGTGTGCAAAAATGACGGCCATTGGGGACCGAAGCAGATGATACCCCACGTCTTCACCCATATGAGCCAGCGCCCATTCAAATGCGGGCTGTGTCAGGTTTGTTGATAGTTGGTTGAGAGCTTATAAGGCTTTTTAGGCTTAGCTCAGGCTTAGCTTAGGCTTAGCTTAGGCTTAGCTTAGGCTTAGCTTAGGCTTAGCTTAGGCTTAGCTTAGGCTTAGCTTAGGCTTAGCTTAGGCTTAGCTTAGGCTTAGCTTAGGCTTAGCTTAGGCTTAGCTTAGGCTTAGGCTTAGCTTAGGCTTAGCTTAGGCTTAGCTTAGGCTTAGCTTAGGCTTAGCTTAGGCTTAGCTTAGGCTTAGCTTAGGCTTAGCTTAGGCTTAGCTTAGGCTTAGCTTAGGCTTAGCTTAGGCTTAGCTTAGGCTTAGCTTACAAGGGAAGGTTGTTTGGGTCAGGTGTCAAATCGACTTGAAACTTTGCCAGTGGATAGAAAATCAAAAATAAAGTGGGGTTTCTTAATCTCATTTTTTGCACAATACCCCAAATTAAAAAGTTATAGGCCTTTGAAGTTACATAAAAAAGCACGAAACGATCCGACAATTCTGACCTGGTCCTCATTGTGGCCTCCCCCCTTTTCAAGCTCTTGCGTCGCCCGACTGGCAAGCGGTTTGGCGCAGTAGGTAGTGCCGTAGAGTACGAAATTTTTTAGATTTTTGTAATCGAGTTCAAGTTTTTGATGCGTCCAACTTTTTGCTTTTTGGATTTTACGCTAACTAACCCTAATTTGCAAGAGAAAAAAGCAAAAAGCAAAAAGATAGAAAAGTTTTAGTCTCGAACTTTTACCAAAATTTTTTCAAAGAATTGTGAGTCAAACGCACTACCGATTGCGCTAGAAGAGACGTGGGGGAGTGGAGACGAGAGTGGGTGAAGAAACCACCCATGAAGAAAATATGGAAACGATGCGGTATTGGTTCAAAAGCCTGCGCCAAACTCAATTTTTAGACCACAAACTTAAAATGCTTATAACTTTTTAATTAGGGGTATTGTGCAGAAAACGACTTAGCGCACCTTGTTCCGTTTTCGATTTTCTATCAACTGGCAAATTTTCAGAAAGATTTGACACCTGACCCAAACAACCTTCCCTTGTTAGGCTTAGCTTAGGCTTAGCTTAGGCTTAGCTTAGGCTTAGCTTAGGCTTAGCTTAGGCTTAGCTTAGGCTTAGCTTAGGCTTAGCTTAGGCTTAGCTTAGGCTTAGCTTAGGCTTAGGCTAAAACTTTACCTAACTTCCGACCCCGATAACCGTCGAAACCCATATTTCTTTAGTATACTGGCCTCTCAATCTGCATCATTCGAAACCACATTGCCAACAAGCACGCCAAGGTGCCTTTGAAGGTGACAATCGGGGTTGAAAATAACAAGTAAGACAAAAAGTAGTCAAGAATTAAAAAAGTAACTTCTAGCACTGAAGCCTTCCTGGACGAGCTGAAATCGCTCTCTGCCCAGTGTTACCCCGACTACGAGAAGCAACTCATCTCTAATTTCGGCTTTATTTTTCGATCCAGCGAGGAGCTGGACAGAAAGTTGGTCGAGGCTCGAACAGCGGTAAGCTTACTTTAACTATCCAAGTCTCATTTTTGGATACTAAAATTAATTTTTGACATTTGGTCTTTAGGGAAAATCAGTCAAAGTGTCGGCCAGCAAAAGAGAGGCCGATCTTGAAGCGGCCGCAGCTAATTTGGCCGCAAAGATCGCATCTCGAAAGCGGAAAGCGGAAGAAATGGAGGCGGAAAAGGTAATTTTACTAGATATATAATTTATACATATTTTTGTGTATAAAATACCGAAAATTTTAAAAATAGGGTAGATACGTCATCAGGAATGATAGTAATTTTTCCAATTTTTAGCGAGCTCGCCCTGAACTTCCCGATGTTACTACGGAAACTGCAGAGGAATCACGTGTTCAGCCCGAAGTTGTGCCCCGGATCGCGCCGTTTGGGTTCCCAGCTATGCAGGTAATATTGGTTTTTTAGGAAAATTACTGTCAAAAAACCAGCTGCTTAAAAAACTATGATCTTTAAAAAGTTTTACCCCGAAATAACAAGTCCAAAAGTCCTTACCAGGAAAATCGATATTTCGAGATTTTCCCGTATAAGTTACATCGTGCACCGTCGTCAAAAAAGCCATAACGTTTTCAAAGCAATGATTTTTCAGCGACAATTTCGAAGTTATAACTTTTGAAGTGATGACCGGCACGGTTTTTTTTAACTGATTAATTTTCTAGAATCCGGCTCTGATGCCTCCAAACTATTTCTCGGCAATGATGTACCCACAGATCCAAGCCTATATGCAACAACAATTGGCCATGGCTTTTGCCGCCGGCGCAATGGTGAGTTTTAAAGGAACGGCCAAGAAATTACCACAGGTGCTAGGGTTTACGGATTCCTTGTTTTCCCTCGTTTAAACCTTAAAAGTACCGTAATTTTAAAGTTGCGCACTATAAAACCCTTTTCAGATGCCGCTCGCATTCCCCTCATTCACCCCCAACTTCCCGTTCCTCAACCCGCACGCCTACCTCAACCAAAACAGACCCCAAGGACCGGTGTAGCCAATCCGTTTTTGGCGCTGATTACTAATTTATTTTTTTCGCAAATAAAATAGATATTTTTTAATTTCAAGCAACGCTGTAATTAGGAGTTATCTGATACAAAGAGTAAACATGAAAATCCCAACAGCAAAAATCCCGACAGCCAAAATGCCGACAAGAAAAACACCGACGGGCGAAAATCCCGGCACCCAAACTACCGACAGGAGAAACACCGACGGCTCGACATAGCCAATATATCTGATTAAGCGGAGGTGTGATTCAAATTAACATAAAAAAATCTGCCAGGATTTTTAACTATCAGGATTTTGTTCTCTCAGTATTTGTCGGTATTTTCGCTGTCGGGAGTTTGGCCTGTCGAGATTTTGATTGTCGGGATTTTGCTTCTCGGGGATTTTGTCTTGTCGATATTTTTGCCGTCGCTGTTTTTGCTGTCGGGATTATGGCTCAAATTTCATGTGAAAAGAATCGTACCTAACGGCAACTTGGGGTCCATTTCCGGTATTTAGAAAGATAAGCTTGAAAGTTTGAAGATAGAGATTTTCATTTGAAAAACACACAAAAACTATCATTAATTGTCATAATTATTACTAGAGCTATTTCTACCCTCATCCATCCCCCCAAAAAAAACATGTTCCACCGCCAGATAGGGCGCCCAATTTTCATGAATTGGATGTGTCCTCCCCCCTCCCATGTGTGAGGGTGTGGCCCAATTGGGGCCCTTCTATCCCCCAGTGGGGTCTGATGGATGTGCTGTGTGGGGGTATTTCCATCAACGCCCATAAAAACAGCCCGAAAAGCCGCCCGGAAAATAGAGCACCACCCCACCATCGACTTGGCGTTTCTAATGGGCCCCGGCGGGCCGGAAAAACTCTTCCGGAAGTGGTAAAGTTTTTTGGGGCGGGATTGGTTTTGAAAGGTAAGTACTGAAAAAAAGCCATCGGAGCGAGAGTCAGAAAAAAATCAGAACGTAATTAAAATTAAATTAAATTAACCAATTAAAAAGCGCTTGTGCACTATTTATTTACTATTCATAAACGCAACGCCTTTACATATTGTATTAAAAAACACAAAAATATAGCGATCATGGCCGATTTTGAGTTAAATTTAAAAATTTTCTGTTTTTAGTTGGTTTTTCTACCAGAAATATGGTTAATTTTGTTAGAAAACACTATGAAGAAACTTACTATTATATTTATGGCAAGTTCTGAACTTATAGGAAAAATTAGGTACCCGCCCCCCGATAATGCACAAGAGCCAAAAATTGGAAGCGGGGAAAAGTCAGGAAATCACGACGGGATATTTTTCAAATTCTCTTAAATTTTATGAGATTTTAGGCGAGGTATGTCAAATATGCGCTAGTAAATTTTTGGTAATAGCGGCAGCGGAAAACAAAAATAAGGGAAAATACCTAAAAAGTTCAAGCTCAATAAAGAATTTCGCAGGTTTTTGAATCCGGTAAGCGGGAATTTCCCGGAATTCCCACAAAATTCGGCCATAAAGCCCGGTTTCGAAACAATGAGAACATTTTTCCCAAAGCCAAAAAGCCCTTCTAGGGGTTCAGGGAAAACTGAAAAACGAGACGCGCGCGCCCCACTTTGGCGCGCCGGGTGGTGGGGCTTTGGGGGAGTGTTTGGGCCCTTCCTTTGTGGCCCATAGGGGCCCTCGATGGGGCCCATTGGCCCTTCTTCGGTCTCTCTGTTGAGGGGCTAATGGACGGACAGACAGACGAGGAGGAGGAGGAGGAAGAGGAGCAAGAGGAGGAGGAACAAGCAGAAGAAGACGACGGATTAGGGCACACACACGAAAACCACCACCCACCACCAACATTCCGGCCATCAACTGGGAAATACTGGCAATAGGAATGTTACGGAGTCACCCGGAAACGGGAGTGGATTCGGAATTTGGGTGTTCGTTTTGGAGCGTTTTTTCTTAGCGTTTTTCCTCGGATTTGGAGGCAAACCAGTAAAGCGTGATCATCTCCTTCAGGCCAGCCTGTAAAAGCTGAGCTAGCTTTCCGGAAACGTCCGGTTTACCCGGTTTTCAGGCCGTTCAACCCGCTTCCGACTGTTACATCCATTTTCTGGACCATTCCGGTCGGATGAAACTTGCCGAAAGTATGTAGTTCCGGAAATTCCGGATAGGCTGAACCCCATATCCGGAATTTGCCGGAACTTCCGTTTGAACCGAACGGCGTATGTCGGAATTTAGGGGTGCCAGACTCTTCCGGAACCTCCGGTTCAGTCTGATTTTTATGGACAACATAGCCTCATCCTCTACGGTGCCGGAAGTTCCGGTTACTACAGCTTTTCGAGTCGTTCAACCGACTTGAAGCCCTTGACTAGCGTTTCAGGCGACAAGCGATCCGACTTTACCAGAATTGACGGTGAACTAGAAAAACACCCAAAGCATTTTCTGGCTAGCATATTCCGGTCTAAAGGAAGGCGTTGAGCCCGGTTTTCCGGAGCTTCCGGTTGCCCAGATTTCTTTGCTAGTTAAAGCCGGTCTGCAGCTGTTAGCACGGCTTTTTGGAACTTCCGGAAGATTCAAAGTTCGGTACACATAGGATAACGGGGAGGGGGAATAAAATAACGGGGGGCACTCATTATTATGAAATTTGCAATTACTGAGGGATTTTGCGAGTGCCATTCGATAGAGCGTCGAAAAATATACTAAGCAAAATAATTTGAGCCCAAAATAATGTAATGGAAATTTTTTATTGAATAAACAAAAATTGAGGAAAATCTATGGGCAGCACATAGGATAACGGGGGGGAAAGTCAAATTTTCGAAATTTTCGAAAATTTCGGTATTTTGAAAACGTCATTCGATAAAGCGTCGAAAACTGCCCTAGGAGAATTAATTTCAGCCCGAAATAATGTAAATTAAATTTTTTATCGAATAAACAAAAATTGATCAAAATCCATGGGCAGCACATAGGATAACGGGGGGGGCGGAAAGCCAAATTTTTGCGATTTTCGATATTTTGAAAACGCGAATCGATAGAACATCAAAAAATATACTAAGAGATTTTTTCACAACGCGAAAAAATGTATTATAAAAGTTTTATAGCCTAAAAACTATTTTTGAAAACTATGGGCAGCACATAGGATAACAGGGGGGAATTTTCGGCGTTTTGAATATTTTCGATATTTTGAAAATGCCATTCGATAGAGGACCGAAAAATATACTAAGAGTTTTTTTACAGCCCAAAAAAAAGCATATTTAAAAATACTTTTATCATATAAAAAGTTTGAGTGCCCCCCCGTTATTTCCCCCGCTATCCTATGTGTACCCAAAATTCTTTCTTCCAATCGGCCTGAATGAGCTAGTCCGTTTTAACGGGAATTGATGTTCGACCTGGTTTTCAATCCTAGTGCGATTTCCAAAAGAAAAGCCCGAATGCTCCGAGGTTTCCGGTAATTTCAGGCGTAAAGCGCAAAAACCGTATTGAAAATGAGCAGGACTTCCGGAAGCATTCAGAGCTTGAATTATTCAGGCAAAAAAACCTGAAAACGGCTTGATATGTTGGAGCGTCTTTCGCAATCAGTAAACCCCCCAAAAAAGAAACAAATTCCTTTTTTATACCCCTATCCGTCTCTAGTGAAAAGGGGGCCCTCGGTGGGCCCTGATGGATGGGTTGGGTCGAGGATTTTCAGGGGCCCCTGAAAAATGGGCGGCTTGTGTCAAGTTTGGAATAGAAAAGTAAAGTAAAGCTGCGGGCGGGGGAACGTTTGAAGGGGTTTTCGAGGTTCAGCACCCAAAAAGATTTTTAAAAGTTATTTTTGTGTAAAATTTAATAGGATGAGGAGCAAAAGTTTAGCTGCTGCCCACACAAGAAATCCGCTCAAAAAAGCATTAAAAATATTGCAAAGGGTAAGTCAGTTTTTAATCCACTTTCGACGAGAAAAATGCTAACAAAGGTATATAACGCTTGAAAAAAACGCCTTTTGTTGCCTCGCGTTTCGGCACGAGGGCACAGATGTGGGCCACCACGAAAATGGAATTAGCCGAGTTGGACGAGACACACAAACTGACAGACAGACAGAGGCACAAACAGAGGAAACGGGCCAGGGCGGCTGATTGGGGCCTTGGCCCAGAGTGTCGGGCGTCAATTCCTCCAAAAAATGCAATTGGAATTGGGATTGGATGAGGAGTGCAATGAGGAACGGAATGGAATCGGGCTGCTCGACTTTAAAGGCACAGTGAAGCCTTGATTGCTTGATTGCTTTAAGTCCAGATCTTGCCGCATCGCAAGACGCAACCCGGCTGTTCCCGGTCGACGCAATGGACCCGGTGCTACGCGCAAGAGGAGGTCTTGCTCAAAAAATTCTTAACATCTCGAGAAATGCTTCCGCATCGCGGTTTTTTGGGCGACCGCAAAACGCGAGACGCACGCGGCGCGGTACGGTAAAGGCGTCGTTTACGCATACGCATTACGCACTACGCAATGTAAGTTCCGGCGGGTGCGTCGCGTGTCGCGGAGCGAAAGACGAGAGAGAGAGACTGAGAGAGAGAGAGAGAGAGAGAGTGAAAGAGAGAACGAGAGAGTGAGAGAGCGACTGCGAGAGAACGAGGGTGAGTGAGCGAGTACGAGTGTGAGTGAGAGTGAGCGTGAGAGACAGAAAGGGAGAGAGAGACAGAGTGGTAGAGAGAACGAGAGAGTGCGTGAGAGCCTGTGAGAGAGGGACTGCGAGAGAACGAGGGTGAGTGAGAGTGATCGTGAGAGAGAGAGAAAGGGAGAGAGACAGAGTGAAAGAGAGAACGAGAGACCGTACAAAACTATAAAGCCAAAACTTGTAAGCTCATCCAAACGACGCTATAAAATTTATTGACATCAAAAACAACCCAAATTCTTTAAACAAATCGAAGCACCAAGCTATGCCCGTTTTTCGAAAGCTATACCAACAGCGCGAAACGGCCTTTGAAAGAGGTCCTTTGGGGGGATGGGCCCCTGGGTGGAGATTTGTCAGCCGGTGACCGATCTTGCCCCATGGGATT